AAACTCAAAAACACACACACATCCCCCTGGAGTTAAACGAACAGGTTGATATTTATGAAAGGGTCGTATGATGATGATGATGATCACTATGTGTGTGTGTGTGTGATAGAACAATGATCAGTAAATATAATCAATCCCTTTCAGATCAGTTAGTCAGCCATTCAATCAATCAATATCAATTACATCTGATGGTGTCATCCACAAACAAGAATATTCTATCCATCTATTATATATATCTACGAGTTGATGTCAACGTCAACAGATTGTACACAGCATAGAACAGCAAAGAATGAAACGGCTATAGATTAGATTAGATAGACAGATAGGGAAAAGAAATGATGGGAGATGGCGGCGGAAGAGACGGGGGGGGGATTGAGGATGGCGCTCTACAATTAAAATAGATACCACACATAGATAGACAATAATAATAATAAAATAATAATAAATTGATGTAAAAGGCGCATTTATCATCACCAAATAAATTTCATATTTTATTTGTAGTATATTATTATTATTTTTTATTCCTTGAATATCCAATTATATAGAATGATGAAATGCTCAATGAGACAAACACACACGCTCACGCAAGCACATCTCTCTACAAAGAAGGAAGAGTGAGCAAGAGACGAGGATGACAGAACGGGACGAGAGGATAATGGCGGGGGGGAGGAGTGGCGCGAAACACGCACAGCGATATATATATATATATATAGGTGTATGGCGCAGAATAACAAAGAAATCTACTCAAACAGAAAAGAAAGAAGAAGAGAAAAGAAACAAACAAACAAAAATATACAAGTTGAATCAAGAAATCAGTAGTGATAGTAAAGGATAACTGGAAAGCCAAGCCAGTAGTAACCTGCAATTAAACACACTATTGGGCGATAAAAATACACGTACAGAGATGCTTGTGCAGCAAAAACACATTAAAAATAATAATAATCACAACAACAACAAAAGAAAAGCTCTTGGCGTCAAATACGCGTCCTGAAATGTTGTACAAACACGCACACACACACACACACAGGGAAGGACAAATGACAATGATGGTGGTGGTGACGATGATAAGGGAATAATATAATAAAGGATATATATAATTGGTCTTTGAAATAAATTAAATAATAATAATAATGTCTTAACGAACAAAAATAATTATGACAAGTGTATTCTTCATGTGATGAGTAATCCAGCTGATGAATTATAATAATCAATTAAATATGTGAACAATGAAAGTATGGCTGTGTACAGTAGTAGTAGTAGTAGTAATAATAATAATGATAATAACGATAATAGTAGAAGTAAGCAACGGTAGTTATTCAGAGTCAATAGGAGGAAAACGAGTGTGTGGGGGGGGGGGACAGGCGGTGACAAGGACTACACGGATGACGAGATAGATGAATAACGAGTTCGAGCAACGAATTTATCTATGAGATAAGAAGTCAAGTCAAGTAAGTCAATATAAGGAAGGACAAACAAACAATTGCAATGAAAAAATAGATAAAAATGGATGTGTATGATATTTGATTATAGATCAATCAATTTAATCAATAAGCAAATAATAATAATAATATTATTTTTGTTTTAATGTATGAGTACACATGCATGCACGCACTTTTAAATGATACTCTCACGCAAACACACACAAAATGACATAAAATAATGTTTGTTTGTTTTTCAATTGTGTGATAAAATCTTTTTCATCATGGGAAATAAAGGACAAAGAGAAAGAGAGAGAAAGAGAATGAGTGAGTGAGTGAAGAACCACGAAATTCTATCGTACCTTTCTCGTACATTCATCATCATCATCTCTGGGTTAACCCTCACTTCACTTGCACGCCTTACATTGATTGATGTCCACACCTTGTTACGAATATCAAATTAATCCGTTTTGACGTCTACTATCCCCTTGTGAATGCACAAATCACGGAGAGAAGAACAACAAGAGAGTAGGAAGAAGAAGAAGAAGAGGATATACACACAAAGAGCGCGGTAGACGGTGAGGAGGAGAAAAGGAAGCAAATGACCATGATGATAACAATAGGCAGTGGTGGTGGTGGTGGTTGTGGTCGTCATCACTGTAGCCGTCATCGTCGTCGTCGGCGTGACAGTTAATACCGGTAGTTGGTGATTGTCTATCTTGTAGTAGATAATTACGTAACTATATTACAGCAATAGCAAAAATAACAATAATAACTTATAATATAACGAAAAAAATAACAAGAGTGAAAGAAAATCAATAATGGAAATGAAGCGACGAGATCGGAGGGAAAGAGAATATGAAAACGAGAGAATTGCATCTGCATCTGCATCATCATCACCATCATCAGCATCAGCAAAAGTGATCCAAGCGACAGAGACACAGAGAGAGATTTAGGTAGGTGTGTAGGGTGGAGAATAAAGAAATGAAGGCAACCAAAAAAGAAGGATGTACAAGGATGCACGCACACACACACACAGTAACACACAAGTAAAATAGGTAGAAATTTGATTAAACCTGAGCAGAAGAAGAGGAAGAAGAAAATAAAAAATATACATCTATCGATCTATTTATCTCTATATATATACCGGGGATTAGCAACAACAGCAAATAATGGAAAAGACACAGAATGCGAGAGAGAGAGAAAGAGAGAGAGACGAGGGGGGAGACAACTTCTTCTCGACAGTAATAATAATAATAATAGGCAAAGAAACCGAATACCAAACTTATCATTATATTATATTGGTAAGAGATAAGGGATAGCAGCAAAATTCATTTAGATTATATGTATAGAATAAAAAACGCTTAAATTGCTTAAATTATTAGGAAACAATAGACAATAATCGTGTTGATGGCAGTAGACGTAGTAATAACTGCTAATACCTGTTGTAGAGTATAACAAAGTTGACTTTAGCAAAACAAATAATAATAATAGCAATAGTAATAATAATTGCTAATAACAAGAAAGGATTTAAAATTTACAATTACCTGAAGTCGAAAATTATTATTATATTTTTTTCACAATGTGAATAACCGCCACCGCCGAGGCCAGCTGCTGCTGCTGCTGCTAGCCAGCCAACCAGTAATGGAGGATTATAGTTAGTTAGATAAAGCAGAAGAGAGGACTAACAATTCTAATAATAGTAATAATAATAATAATAGCACCAAGAATATGTGCATATAAGTAGGTATAAAGTGCGTAATAAATAATAATAACAATAATCATAAAACAAAGTCTTGCTCAACACAAACACTGAAAGGTAGTCATCTCAAACTACTACTACTACTACTACTAATGCTAATGTTTTACTAGTCGTAAAACAAAGAAAATAAAGCAAAAAAATTATACAGAAGAATACAACGGCCTACCTGGTTGTCAAATTGAAACTTTTCAACAGAACCTTAAACCCCCCCCCGGCTTCATGCACGCACACATACACACACAGAAACGCATACTGAGATTAACAGACGTAGGTGATGGTGGACAACAGACACAGGGATTACGGGGGAGGGAGGGGGAACTTCACACATGTGTGTATATATACGCGCACGTGCGTGTGTGTGTGTGTGAAATGGGATGGTGGAGGGAGCAGTGAAAGAGAGAATGAATACAATACACACCTGGATTACTGAATTAGATAAAAAAGCAATAAAAATACCCCACTTATGAATGAACAAAAAGGAGGAGAAGAAAAAAAACACACTGATAGGCAAAACAAAAAAAGGAATATAGTAATCATGATAACAGTAATAAATAATAATAATAATCATATGAAATAGTCTAAATTTTTATCAAAATATACCCCTGTGTTCACGATACAATTGTACAATAATTAACCATTAGAAGTAATAATAATAATAATAATAGCAATAGCAATAACAATAGTGACAATAGAAGTTGTACTAGTAGTAAAAAATATGTCCTGATAGTGTACTTGTGTGTGTGTGTGTGTGTAATGTGTATGCGACAAGGAGGAGGAGGAGAAGGAGGGAGGGGCGCATGGTACACCGACACGCAGACACACACACACGCACGGTGTATGCGTAGACAAATAGACATCCCAGCACGCACGCACGCACTCACTCACTCACACACACACTCAGAGGAGGAGACAGAGAGAGGGGGGGAGAAACACACACGACAACAACAACAACAAGAAAAAAAGAGAGAGATTTAAAAAATATCTTAAGGCAACTTGACTGACTGCAGCAACCGCACAAAACAACTGACACAGAAGAAGATAAAAGAGTGTGTAAAATAATAGATAAAAAACAATATAGACGCCATATATATGTATATGCGTATATATAATACATCACCTGACAGCGACCAGAATAAAACTGCAATAGAATAGACAAATAATTCGCACTAATATTAATGATCTCGATTAAGTTGTCGTCTTTGAAAAGTAATCGTAGCAGTAGTAGCAGTAGTAGTGTGGTTGAGGAGTGTGGAAATATTTAAGGAACAGAGTTGCGGAAACATCTTTCTGCCCACTTACTTCGTCCTTGTCATTATCATCATCAATCATGAGTGGAAAACTGTTAAAATAATAGAAATCACTATCTCTTATAAATAAAATAGGGTTCAGAGAGAGAGAGAGAGAAAAACAAACAAACAAACAGTCACAATCACAATAACAACAACAACTTGTTTTCTTTCAGACAAACAGAAAAAAACAAAACAAAGAAAAATATATGCAGACAAAAGAATAAATTAGGATTGATTACTGTTGTTGTTGTTCTTTTTTCTTCTTGTTGTCAACGTCGCCGTGCTTATTATTTAGTCTTGTTTATTTGTAGACTGAAGGAGAGGAAAAGAGTGAAGCGATAGGCTAGGAGGCGGGACGGATGGATGGATGCGAGCGTGAGAAGAACAAGAGAAGAAGTATATTTCTTGGAAATGATACCAACCGCTTCACCAAAGTGTAGTATATATGCATGTGTGTGTGTCTGTGCGTGTATGTTGTCAATATTGTAACTTTATTCTACAATAAATATTAAACAATTAAATATTAACATTAATAATAATAATAATAATGATAACTGAATGACAACAGTTTCTTTATATAGAATAATTTAATGAAAATTAATGCATACAAATAAAAAAATAATGGTAATAATAATAATAATAATAATTGATTATTTTGAAATATCAACGAAAAAGTAGATAACAATAGAGACAAAGGAGGAGAGAGAAGAGAGAGAGAGAGAATGGAGACGACAATGCATTCATTATTAAGTAAGTGATACAAATTATGAAGCATAGCAATTCATCATCATCACCACAATCATCATCGCCGTCATCATCATCTTGTTACAGTACACTGAGAATTCGACAGTGTTCCAGTGGTAGGAGCAGCAGTAGTACTACTACTAGTTGTAGTATCAGGGGATAATGACACCTTGAATGTGTTGTTGCTGTTGATGGTGGTCGTGGTTGTGATTAGACTTGGTGAATGACAATGATGACGTAGATGTCTATTGTCACCTTCTTCTAATGTGGCATTAGTTAAAAAATCGAATTCATCACTTGATGAAGTGAAAGGAGTTTGATTTTGTTGCTGTTGCTGCTGATCGTGGTGGTGTCGTTGTTGTTGTTGTTGATGATGTTTAGCTGCAATCATAATTTCAACTAGACATTTGGAAAGGTGATCACATGCACACGCACCAACGCGACGAAACGTTTCAACAGAGAGATGAGAAAAACAAGAGAAAAAAAGATTAAAATTAAGGCATAAATTATTCTAGAAGTTAATCGAAAAGCAAACGTCTAACCAAGTGAAATTTTAAGTACCAGTGAATCCCAATGGAGTTAGACCTCGCCAACGTCAGGGAAATCAATCGAATAATACTAGAATCATGAATAAATTATGCTCAGTGGAGTGTTATGATATTAAATGAGATATTCGATAAGCTTCAGGTTGGGCTTTCGGAGAGATTAAGTGAAGAGTTTAGGCCTGAGGACAGATCAGAGAAAGGTCAACCTCTAATAAGAGAGACATATTGATTGGTTCGACTCAGATCAAAGTTAATTTAGGAATAGTTTGGCGATGGCGTTAGCATTAGACTGAGGTTCTCAAGATCTAGATGTATACATGGATAGAATATGGTTTAATTATTCTATTGACACACTCGTGAAAAACTAGGAGTAGGCATTTCTGTGACACATCCGACAAAGGTATGCTGTGTAAAAGTTTCATGCAATTTTCTATTCATTATTTTGATGAATATATGTACTTTATACGCAAAAATCGGGTGCGTCAGTGGCACAGTGTTTAGGAGGCTCGCCGACCATGCACATGGTCCGGGATTCGACCCCCGACCGACGCACTCCTTTACCTCGCCAAACCAGTAATAGGTTGGGCATGAGGCTGGCAACCTCATCCTGTAAAAGTAAACACTGCTACAAAAACTTCAAGCCTCTAACTTGAAGCCCTATTTTCCACTGGGAACGTGAAGGAAAAAAAATACGCAGAAATCGCCTTTATCATGTGGTTAGCGCATTTGAGGGTATTTGTCCACTAGTACATTTTGGTGCTTGAAAAGGTTTAACTTCACTGTTAATTGTACTGTACGATTAGGTGGATTCCGGAGGGGTTTTTTACTTCATGAGTAAAAAGAAGTAAAGTTAAGATTTGAAACTAGATGATTTGGTTGCAAGTGTAGTTATTCTCTCTCTCTCTCTCGTAATACCCACTCATCGTTTCGTGTTCCGTTTACACTCGAGTGATGGTTTGGAGCGTGATGCTATTCGACAGCCTCCTCAGAGTGTAGCCAATCCATCTGCATTTTCTCCTACATATTTGTTGAGCAATCGGATCTTGGTTGCTTTATTCCACTACAGAGTTTATTGTTACTAATTCTTTCTGGCCAGCCGGTCATTTGATCTCCAGTATGGAGCCAGCCAGCCAGCGAAGTGGGCAGCTGTTGATGGAAGTCTGCAGTGACCTGTTGGAAATCCTTTTCGTGACGCGCTGGTCAATTTTCTGACCCGTATAGAAGAACTGACTGACTGACTAACTAAATCCGAATCTTGTTGTTTATACTGAGGCTGAATTTAACTTCACAAAATATCCGACAATCAATGTATGGGGAGAGGGATTTACAGATACAATGCCTGTTTGTTATCCCACACAACATATAAGTAATTATACTAGATAGCTTGGCTTCGTATATATGACTTCGTACAGTTGACTGTGAATTTTCCTCCCAATATGATCTCAAGTAGGCCTAAAGGTTCATAGCTTTGGTCAGGTAAGGCTTATTTTCACCACCTTCAAAAGGCTAGGAGGGGGTTTCTCAAAAACAAAAAAAGTGAAAGGGTGATTACGAACGTCCAGCGTCTAAAACAAACTGAAAATTCCATACTTGTACTGAAAATACGGTATGGAATCAAGCTGTAATCAAAATAAAAATAAAAAAGAATAGACTAGTGGGACAGCAGGTATTTATTTAGAGAAGCTGTAAACTCACGATTTCAAATCTATGTTACATATAGACTACAGAAACCGAAAGGATGGAGGAATAGTGTACAATGAACGTGTTTTGGACACTGGGAATGCAGCTCAATGGGCACTGCTTCATTGTGTTTACGGATTAGACTTCAAGTCAACGCCTCAAGAAATGGTATCTTACAACGAACACCTGCTTAGGTGGTATCTGGTCTAGGTATCCAGGCAATATCTCGGCTCTTACACACAGAGATGAAGCACATATCTCAGTACTCATATTGCACCACGTTAGTGTTTTAATTTAAGATAACCAGAGAGTACTGGATACACACTATAGAGTTCCACATACAAATAAATGCATCAGCTAATAAAAGTGATGAAAAGAAATTAAATCACACTTCAAATATTTATTTCCCTTTATGCATTTGAATAAAGCAAGAACAATGGTGGTTTGTGCAGAATAAGATGACACCATCATTTCTGAACAATGCACCGACCAACTTTTACCACAATGACAGATGAGCTACCATTTGTGGCCTCATCATCAGAGTATATCTATCTATTCACATATTGCTGTCTGGGTTAACTAAGGTGTATGTAACGTCTGGAAATCAGAGACAGTCCCACTAGGCTGGTTTAAGTCATTCATGATCCCAGTATGCAAGAAAGGAAACAAGTCTCCCTGTGATAATCACAGGGGGATTAGCTTGACCAATGTAGTATCTGAAGTCTTAGGCTCAATAGTCACGCGTAGATTAGGCAGTGCTCGAGAGAAGCAAACAAGAAAATCAGACAGGCTTTAGATCATGAAGGCATAGGTATATTTACCGGCGTCCAACAATTGCTAAATTTTTTTATCTGAAGATGGAATACGACTCCATCGAACGAGAGGTACAATGGCAGTGTTTTGCAGTACACTACTGAAGTGATGACAACCTGTGGTGTCCGTCAGGGATGTCCACTGACTTCTTTTCTCTCTAATTTCACCACAGACATACTAATGGAATTAACGCTAATCGATTTCAGCAACTCAGGGATCCATTTGCTACTAGAGAATAATGTTGTTGACTCAGAATATTCAGATGATATAGTCCCTTCTAGGTGAGGACGTTGATAAAATAGAACAGAGTCTTTTGATCAACACCTTGAGCAGCAGTCTTCTACTCTTTCGCATGCGATTTACTCGAGTCATACGTAAGATAATGCTACAGGATTGGACTACATCGTCTTACTCTTGGCTTAAAAATAGGGAGTGAAGTGGTGTAGACCATTTTACTTATTTGGGAAGTTGCATAAGCCTCGACAGTCTGATCTCAGAACAAAAGTCTTGTGTAATATTCGCCAACTGATGTCATCTCTTACGTAGATATGATATATGGCTAGTCGATCAAAAGACATGTATACTACACAACAGCAGTTCACTTTGTCCTTCTTTATGACTGTGAGATATGGCCATCGAAAGTGGAAGACGTCAAAAGGCTGACTAGATGTCTTTTTTCTATCTCCCCTGTTAGGTGGTCGGTGTAATAGGGTGAGCAATATTGAGGTTAGGCCTCGATCGAGTGTTAGGCACGGAGGGGAAATCGATCGACGAGGTTGTGAAGCAGCTGCATCGATTGGGATCGTTAGGACATGTGTCAGTCAGTCAGTCAGTCAGTCAGTCAGTCAGTCAGTCAGTCAGTCAGTCAGTCAGTCAGTCAGTCAGTCAGTCAGTCAGTCAGTCAGTCAGTCAGTCAGTCAGTCAGTCAGTCAGTCAGTCAGTCAGTCAGTCAGTCAGTCAGTCAGTCAGTCAGTCAGTCAGTCAGTCAGTCAGTCAGTCAGTCAGTCAATATTTTAACAATAATATATCCACCACCACTAGTCTAATTGAGATGAGAGTCATAAGACACAAACTTCAGTTGAAAAACATTAACTCTATTGATTTATCGCCAGCTAGTAGCAGCACACTTAGTTATCATCATTATTATCATCTTAAGCGGTTTTAGTTTCACAACATCTAACAACATCACATCATGATCATAGGGATCAATAAAAAATATACAGAAAGAAGGGGAATCATGAAAACTCACGATCAAATACATCATTGATAAGATCATCTGGCAATAAATTCTCTTCCTGTTGTTGTTGTAATTGATCATGATGTCTGAAATCTGATTGTAGCATTGTTTCCAAATGATGATTAACAACTCCTAACGATGTTGACAAGGGGAAATCTAATGGGTCTGTAGTCAAATTATACGCCAGTGTTGAATTTGTTGAAGCAGCAACTGATAATGATGATGATGATAATGATAAACTTTTAGCCATAACAGGTGTAGTAGTAGTAGTAGTAGTGGAAGGAGGTTGGGGAGGAGGGGGTGTATAATTTGAATGATTATTAGACAAATAGGAGGAGGAGGAGATGGTTGTGGTGGCGGTGGCGGCCGTATCGAATGATGATACAGCAAGGGGATTCGATTCATAATAATAATAATTATTATTGTTAAGATGATTATTCACTATGAAAGAGGATGATTCAGAGGTGTGTAGAAATTCTCCCCCTCCCCCACCACCACCACCTCCGCTTCCAGGCTGACAAATTGGTGATTTCAATAAAGCTGTTTGTGATGTTGTACTAGAACACGGTGATGTATTCGCTGATACACTGATCGGTGATAAACTAGACGGTGTCAATGGATGAACATTTGGATAGTTGAATGTATTATTGAAATATGAGGAATTATTATTATTAGTAGTAGTATTATTATTGTAATTAAGAAAATCGAATGGATCTATTGTGCTTTTCTCATCATTGTGCTGTTGCTGTTGTTGTTGTTGGTGGTGGTGTTGGTGGTGATGATGATGATGCTGATGTGGTGGTGTTTATCAATAGTAGAAAAACCCTGAGAAGTATAACCTCCACCATTATCATCATGAATTAGGTGAATTGACTGAGAAGGATAAACATTATATGAGGTGGATATATTGTTATTATTATTGCTATTACTATTACTATTTGTATTAATATCTAAATTTAAAGAACCCTGACGAATATAAACAGATTGAGGTAATACAGTAGGTGACCACTGTTGACAATTATTGTTATTGTTATTATTATTATTATGAAGATTGCTCATGGAATTTTGTACACCGCATACAATTTGATTATGATTATGATGATCATATCCTCGCATAGTTGATGATGAGATAACTCCACGAGTAACAGTAGTAGTTGTAGTAGTAGTAGGCGTCGGTGTACGATTTATTGTCGTCGTCGTAGTAGCAGTGGAACAAGGCAATAGACCTGAATTAGAAAATTGATCAATTCCAATTATTGATGAAGAAGTATAACTAGTAGTAGGAGTAGTAGTAGTAGCAGTATGATACATATTCATCATTGAATGAGGAATAGAATCAGTGAATAATTGATTAGAAGGTAATACCTGAGAGCATTGAAATCCCCTGTGATTATTATCAATAACATTATTATTACTATTATTGGTGTTGGTGGTGTTGGTATTGCTGTTATTGTTGATGCTATTCTGATAGACAACTTGTCGACCGACCAATGCTTGTCGTAGTTCAGCTTTAACTAAACGGCTACAATAACAAAAAGAAACAACAACAACCAAAGAATAAACAAACAGCATAAAGGTTATTGAAATCTACTATATGTAACCCCCAATACAAAAGTTTATCAACATCCTGAAAGTCCTATGAAGGCGTACAAACACACTATCATCATTGTTCCCAACCAAAAGTAGGGTAAGACAGGATTGTCCAGTCTCTCCATTTTTCTTTTTAACTTTAACATCCATGACATTCTGGAGTCAACTCTAAAGGATGTGCGTGGTGGTGGTGGTAGTAGTGGTGGTGGCGGCGGTGTAGATCTGCTTCCTGGAGAAAGACTTTTCAACCTCGGGTATGCAGACAATATCGTCTTATTGTGCGCGATAATAGCATGCAGGCTGCTCAAATCGCACTTAATCATTTGGAGATCAGTGTCTGTAAGTATGGTGTGCTTTGCGCCGTCTAAGTGCAAAGCGTTTACAATACTTCAGTGCGCGCTGTCTTGCTTTACCCTTGCCAAAAACTGGCCTTTGTGAGCTAAGGATGTGCAGCGACTCTGCGTATTCTATCATCACTGTCTCTGTAGGATTGCCTACGTTCCATGGCAGCAACGCATCACTAATTCGGAGGTCCAGAAGTTTGTGTTCGGACACAGCAGAGATCACCATTCATTGAGTGTCGGCGTCATCTGGAAACACAGGCTCCGATGGCTTGAACATGTGCTACGAATGTCATCCCCAGAGGTTTCCGTAACGGTCTCTGTTCACTAACCAGCCCTGGGACGGGTCGGAAAAGGTAGAGAGGTGGTCAGTTCATGACTTGGCATTGTGAGATGAAGGATATTTGTGTTAGGTCAGCATCGGTTGGTGCGCTACGACTCCTTGGTTGGGGTTCAAGAGATAGCTAGAATTGGTGGCTCGAAATGTTATCGGATACGGCCAACAATAGCGATCACCAATGGCGAAGGTGCTGCAATTTCCTTCTTTCTACCTTTTCTGATAATAATTCGACGAATGCTGTCTGGTCTTCATAAATATAATATATATGGTTGGAGGATTTCATCATGAGTTGACATCAGTTAGACAACCATTGGAAAACCAACCACAGGGAGTACTTGACAGCTGTTTCATCAACCTTAGTTTAGGACTCTTCCACAGTACGCACCCACCACAGGGGGTTCGAACCCAGGATCTTCTGCTTACAATGCCAACGATCTCGTAGACCACTTAGCAGCCCACTGTCACCTGCCCCGATCCAATGTCTAACGCATGAATTCTAACTTCTGCCAATTCATGACATAGCGTGATCCCTTCGCGACCAGGAATCGAATCCTGATGAAGTGTATTGTTAAACTACAGAAATATAAGTGCAATATGTGATAGAATTCATTCAAAGAAATTTAAAAAAACAAACATGAAAATATAAAGAAATAATCAGTAATTATTGTTATTATTAGATAGATGGTTGGAGGCAGCAATCGGTCACAGGAATCCTTGCTTAACTTAGGTTTTGTAGCTTGTCAGCACTCAACCACCACTACTAGTTTCACAGAGCGAAACACGACGTATCTAAGATTGCAGAGGAATTCAAGTCCCTCCATTTTTGAAATTGAAACCTGTGTCAACCGGTGAGTGCTGCTGCAGTCAGAGATGTTACCGTCGCCACCACCACCACCACTACTGACGTTCGGGTTCGGGTTCAGTGGTATTAGGACTGTTTTATCAGTCAAGTTTATAATCAAAGAAATAATTTATAAACTAATAATAATAATAATAATAATGTTACCTATTATCTACAATTGATAAATGTTGTTGATTTTCAGGTAATATTTGATTTCTTGATGTTATTCTTAAACTGTTTATAGTGGAACCAACACCAGCACCAGCACCAGGAGCAGACGGTACAAGAACAACAACTGTCGATGGTGTAGGATACACTGATGTAGGTGGATGCATTTTACTTGATGAATTGAGATTATTAGTAGTAGTATTACTGTGTTGGTGTTGGTTTTGTTGTTGTTGCAAGAATTTAGAGGATTGTTGTAGCATTTTCGTTGTATTACCACTACCGATAGTACAATTATTATTATTATTATTGGTGTTCGTTGTTGAATGAACATAAGGAATTTTATTCACATTACTTGAATGTTGATTCTCATTAACAGGAATCTTGCATGATAACTAGACGGGGTAAAAGTGCAACAAATAATACAACTAGAGTAATGACAATTAATAATAATAATAATAATAATAATAATAATAAAACATAAATCGTCAAGAAACAACCACTTACACAATACCATTCAGTTGGAAATGAAACTTCATCAATTAGTGTGACAAAAGAGAGAGAGAGAAAGAGAGAGATAGAGGCTAGTGTAATACTACCACCACCTACCTACCTAACTCTCTGGGGCTGACAATGTAGATGATAGAGTGAAGTGGAGATAGGACCACGTATGACCCCCATTTGATGATTGCATATTGAAAGTGTGTCTAGACACCATCTCTCCAGAGCTACGACTCCATTAAAAGATGTATTAATAATCAATAGCATGTTAGTAAAAAATGCAGTTCATTTAAAGTTTAGGCGGACAACATTAGACGAATAAATCATAGGGTTCAAATCTTATTGTCCTACCAGCCCTATTGACGTTTCCGAAGTATAATAATAATAATAATACACTAACTAAGTGCGGTTTATTATTATTTTTCCCTTGGGTGGTGGAATATCTCCATTATGGGTAAATTTTATTTTGATAGAGTCTCACAGTGTTATACTGTATAACACTGTGAGACTCTATCAAAATAAAATTTACCCATAATGGAATTACACTCTACCACAGTGCCCAAGTTTTATTCTTATATCGGTGGAATATTGTATGTCTGTCGGTTTTCGACATAGAACTTTGCACATATGTGCGCCAGTTCAAGTCGCCACACTCCCTCCTTGTAGCACACAAAGCAACAGAAGAAAGTAGGAGAAATGCACAATATAGACAGTAAACAGAGGTGTGAGAAAAAGGAATAGTAATAACGGAGAACAAAACAGTTTCATTGGAAATCATAAATCACAATGAGTGGATGCATCTGCGCCAGCCATTGAGAACGAGGATTTTCAGCCATGTCACCAATTGTTTCCAGCCATTGGTTTTTACCATCCCGAGGGCCCCAACCAGGAAGTCTACATCTTCCTACGTGGCTTAAGCTAACTGTTGTGGACTTCATTGACTGGTGCTATGTTTTGGTTTGACCGCCAATAGCTCTTTTCCAGCCTGACCCTATGTCAGCTAACATTGCCCATTGCCGAGGAAGGCGATGACTATGCATACGTAACACATGTCCTAACCATCTCAGTCGATGTAATTTCACAGTCTCGTCGACTGATTACCCCGCCTTACCTAGCACTCGACACCTAACCTCAATATTGCTCACCTTATTATACCACTTCACGCGGGAGATAGGACGCAGACACCTATGATCAAAGACAGCTAATCTTTTCATGTTTCTGGTTTAAATTTCCGTTGGTGTAAACACTATATATATATATATCCTGTATTTTGTGTAATAAAAGTTGTTGCTCCAGCTGTTATCGCCGTTAAACCCAACTCCTGAGTCTACTTCAATATAGGGGAATACTTTCAAGTGATCAGTTTGTTTATAGTGTGTCTTGTCTGAAGGTGTAGTGTAGTCAAAATACTCAAACAACTAACCAATGACGACTGCCACTACACTCTATATTCTATTGAGCCAGTGACCCACCATCATATAAGTGTTTAAAAAAAACAACAACAAAACAATCTCACACACAAAACTCACTTCAACGCGAACATTAGGACCAACTTCTTTTAAACATCGTGATAAATCTTCTGGACGATGATTTGGATGATAGAAACCAGATAGTTTTGATGCTGTACTAATTGATGCTGAATTAGAGGAATGCACTGTTGTCGCATTTAAGCTTAATACACCTGAGTTGAAATTCTGTCCTCCTCCCCCCCCTCCGCCTCCGCTTCCATCTAAACACAATGATCTTCTTCTTGTTGTTGTTATTGATTTATGACTAGGTATAACATAAGACAGTGGAGGAGTAACAGTAGCACTAGTAATATTCGTTATTGTTGTATTCGAAGCCACAGGGACACCAGTAACAATCACCGGTATACTTTCAATTCCATAGGGGATATTTTCATTCAATATGAATGTATTCCCTTGATGATACGGATCAATGCTACTACCACCTTCATAAGTTGGATTATTATTATTATTATTATTTGATGGTGAATTCAATGAGTATACAGCTACTTGATTATATAATTGATGTTGTATAAGACGCTGTTTAGAAAAGGAAAAAAAAGAGACGAAAAAGAAGAGAATGACAATGGGATAAGAAAACATTGGAGAATTAAAGCTGAAATCAACAAATTGTATATGATGGAGAAGATTTGTAGCTCAGGTGGATGATTTTGATGTAGCTGTATTCTCTGGGCTGAATGGTTCATTTGCAAAGGTTTTATTGCCCTATTCATTGTAGCACTCCCACCTTAAGGAAAAGTGAAGAAAGATATCTTATGGACGTTTTCTAAAACAAGACATCTACCGCCAAGCCGACCAATCAACCAATTCAAAGGCCCCACCAAGGAAATCATAAAGAAAATAGTCCTACCATATATAAAAGACATCTCAGAAATCACTGCAAGACTCTTCAAACCTTTAGGAATTGATGTCGCACACAAACTAACAAAATCACTTCACTCGGCTGGTTTTATGTCAATCAAAAGACTTAACAATGAAAGAAGATGAAACCAACATCATCTACAAAATACATAGCAACGACTGAGAAAAACATTACATTGGCCAAAGTGAACGTTCTCTTCGTCTTCGTATCCATGATCATAAATTAGCCGTCAAAAGACATGACATCTACTCCCTCGCACATATCGCTCTATACAGACAACCACAGACATCAATTCGACTGGGACAACCAAAGTTCAAATATCATACAGAGGAAACACCAAGAATGCTAAAGAATTTTTAGAAGCTCACCTGGTATTCCAGTGAATCATCGTCAATCAATAGACACATCGAGATAGACAAAATTTACCAGTCGATAAGAAGGAAATCTCACACACACAAAGGGTCAAAGTTCAAGTCAAGGAAAAAACAATCAGCATCAATACCACAAGTAGCCTTGAGGGTGTGAAAACACACATAAAAGCAGCCAATCACGTTCAAGGTCACCACTCACCAGAAGAGATGACTAATAAACTCGTGAAGAAATAAATCTAAAACCTCACTTCAATTCAAATTGAAGTACGCGCTGAAGATGTGAGGCAATGAAAGCTTCGCAACTATTAACCATCCATCGAGCTCCAAGAACACAACTACACCAAAATCATAAATTGTATATTTGAATAAAGGCAAGAACAACAGGCGATGGGGGGGCGTTGTGCAGAATAAGACGATGGAACCATCATTGTTTATTCTTCATAGGCTTCTTATCACTTGTGTGCACAGTCTAAAGAAAGCTTATGTACAGAACAATCTTTAAAGTTATTTACAATTGTGACATGATGTGAAGTTAATTGACCGGAGACACCAAACTTATTATTATTACTATCGTTCCCTTGGGTTCCTAGTGGAACATAGGGCTTCAACTACACATCTCCACTTATTTCTGTCTTCTGCTGTACTTTTCACCTGCATCCATGTTAGTCCATACTGTTTCAACTCATCTTCACACGATCTCCATGTCACCCTTGCACTGATGTCCCACTCGCCACTTCCCTTTCGGGTTCCACTCGAGCACTGGCCTGACGCGCGATGTCACCCAGCAGCCTCGTCAGCTCAGCGAGTGTCCAATCCATCGACACTTTCTCCTGCATATTTGTTGAGCGATTGGTTCTTGTTTTGTTTCTTCCCATAGTTTCTTGTTGGTGATTCTTTCCGGCCATCTGATCTTCAGTATAGAGCGAAGACAGTTGTTGATAAAGGTCTGCAACAGGCTGTTGGAAATATTCTTTGTGACCCGCCGTCAAGTTTCTGATCCGTAGAGAAGAACTGACTTGACGTTTGTATTGAAAATCCGAATTCCAAACTTAATCAAACACTACTCAAAACTTGCACCTATATAGAGCCTACACATCAAAAGTACAAGTTTTAACAACAAACAAACAAACAAATGTAGCAAATGCTTGGATACAGTGTGGTAAGAGTTACATAATAAAGACAAGAGGTGAATAAGATGATGAGTAGGCAATAAACTGCGTAACAATGTAGTGAGTTCAAAGATTACATAATCAAATAAGAGAGAGAGAGAAAGTAAGGGACATTCGGTTACCACCAGGTGGGTAAGAACATACCGGTAACTCCTTCTTGTTAAACATTATAAATCGGGGTTTTAGGCATTTGATAGCGACTGCTTCAGCAAACTTCAGGAGAGTCTATTGACAATTTTAAAGGATTTCGTGATGTTCTATCACATGACCTATATTGACGAGATGTCTAGCAATAGCATTAAATGTAAAAACGTTTGTTTCCTTAAGATGTAGAAATTTCAGTGTAAATGTTCAGAAAATCGACCAGTGTACCCACCCCCCAATGTAACTGCTATCACGGGTACATGTAAGTTTGCATACATAGTTAGAATCAACTGTGTATTACTAATTATATTTCAGAAACCGACATACTTTACTGGTGAATAATAACGTATGATACCCCCCCCCCCAACACGAATAAGCATTTTCACATATGGTTGAATGAATGAAAGACATGTTGACCAATCAACGTATTAACAAAAAGAACTACTTAGTGCATATATAAACATCGAAACACCCCCCCACCAACGCAGGGAGTCGTAATGCATCAGTATTCATCATCCCACAGAGCCATGCATCATAAGCTAGCTGATCACCCTTACGCTTTTCTCCATCCAAGGCTAGCGAAACATTGAACGTTATGAAAATTGATGGAATAACCAAAGCTGATGTGTCCAAACGCATACTGCCAGACCTGAGAATTATTTATATGATAATGCTGGAGGATACAAGCGATTTTCTTCATAGGCAGCGATTAAACACGGAGAGTCGCAGTTAAATATCACTAAGCTGGAGGCCAGGTTTAACAAGTGTCGAGTACAACTGAATTCACCAAAACACATACCATACTTAAAGACACTGATAGTAGTCAATTACGATTCGAATATCCTGTATGCTATCACATACTCGAGGTCGAAGTCCTTCTGCAGACAGGACATCTACACCACCACCATCACACACGCCCCTCAGATCTGACTCCAGGATGTCATTGCTAGCGAGGATGAAGAGAAATGGTGAGACTCAGCAACCGTTTATACCCCCATTACTGTTTGAGAATAATCACAAGAGCTGGTTAATATGCCTTCACCTTACCTGAGATGTTTCAGAGGATGTGAAAACAAAAAACTTTTCAGGGAAAGATTTCTCTAAATGGTAGTATTTCCAAAAAATCAATTCTGTCCAACAGATCAATCAAGAAGGCAGTCCGAATCATCAAGAAATATAATGACTGTTGATCTGTTCTAGCAACTGATGATGGTATAAGGGAACAGGTGGTTACCGCATCCATGATTTCAACAAAATACAATTACTTTGATTCATATCTTCAATATTTGAAGAAAAAATCCATCAAAGTAAAGGAGCAAGTTATACTCCAAGTCCACAACAACACTAACATACCTGAGATATTGATTACTAGTCACAATTAAAGATCTAGAGTATAATTGTTGAAAATCAAATATTGAACTAGAAAGTGTCTGTCTCTGTTGACAATGAGTGATACTCACACTCAATGGAAACATCCTCAACTCACTGGTTCGAATGAGGAGTTCCAAAATAGGATGAAATGTACATTGTGAATTCCAGTGTTTTAGACACCCACCATCCAACACCAAATAGAATCATGTACATTACAGTTGATCCCCAATAGGATGTAAAGTATTTTAAAACAAATTTATTTGAAAAGTTTTGTATATTAAAGACTGATAAGATCTAATTGAAAACACTAGATTGTTCATGCTTATATATGTGTTGTTCCAAATAAATAATCATAGAAGAAAGCATAGAATAGCAGTCAAACCTCTCTATACCTTAACTTTATCAACTTCGAAAAGGTAACGGTTTCGACAAACAGCGTTGACCAAGAAGTAATTTGGAAACTACTTCAACACTACGGCGTGCAGTGCCCTCATTCAACAGCTATATGACAGTGGCACGTGTCAAGTGATCCACAACAGAAAACTCAGCGAAGACTTTAAAGTGAAGAGAGAAGTAAGACAAGACTGGTGCCTATTATCACCAAGGCTGAGATTCCTAATTGTGGTGGACAAGACTTAAAGTGAATATAAAGAAGATGGAGGTGATGAAGATAATAAATTAACCAAGAGCAACAGCAGCAACAACAACCGGCATCAATCACCATCAAAGGGAGAGATTTAACAGAGGTTACCTCATTCGCTTATCTAGGAAACATCGTTTCAACTACAGGCAATCGAAACAGTTGAAGATGTCAAAGTTGGCCAGAATCGGAGACAAGATACGCCTCCATAAACCTGAAACCAGTTTGCGAAAATCTTCCACACTCCACTCAGTCAGCATTAGGAACAAAATTCTCATTTTCACCACCAATGTCAGGTCGGTCAGTGCTTCTATTCCGGTTAGAAACTTGACCAGCGTGTCACGAAAAGGATTTCCAACAGCCTGTTGCAGACTTTCATCAACAGCTGCTAACTTCACTGTCTGGCTCCATACTGAAGATCAAATGGCCGGCCGGTTAGCTGGCCAGAAAGAATTAGTAACAATAAACTCTGTAGTGGAACAAAGCAACCAAGAGCTGATTGCTCAACAAATATGTAGGAGAAAATGGAGATGGATGGATCAGGCATACATTGAGGAGGCCGTCGAATGACACTGCGGTCAATGCAGGCCATTGTTCCAGTGGATTCCAAGTGGGAAGTGACGAGGAGGTCGTTGGTGCGAGGGTGACATAGAAGAAGAACAATGGGCGAGGAGGAGATAAGAGGTTATGAGCATTTGTGTGGCTAGCCAGCTGAAGAGGATGGATGTTGAAGCCCTATGTTCATCTCGGAACTCAGAGGAACAATAAATAATAAAAATTATTATGGATACATAACTATAGAGTCTGATGATGGAATTATTGAAAAAGTATATATCCCTTACTCAGTAGTGATCAGTCGTCTATTGAAAATAATAACGCTAATATTATTATACATACTCAAATTGAACACAACTTACTTTACGTTGTTCAGCTAATAGACGTTGATTTGTCAATTGATTCCTCTGACTTGCTGCTGCTTGTTGACTGGCTAAAGCAGCTGCTACAGCAGCTTTATTGACACCACCACTAGAGCCACCACTAAATCTTCGTTGAACTGTACTAGTCGTTTGAGGTGGAAAACTTGACCAAGTTGTACGTGTAGTCACCAGTAATGGGGTTGACACTGACAATAATAATAAAATAATGAAAAGAAGCAATGATAGAAATTCGAGTTTTCTTTTTGAAAAAGTAAAAAGTACATTAAACTGAATATACTACTGATTCAGTTAAGATGAGTAGTTTGTACACCACTCACATATCAAGAACCAGTAGTGTTTGGCTAACCACATTGAAGTGATCTAAACACAAGGAGAGTTGTTTCGCTCGTCTTGAGGCGAATTCATCAGCAATATGTACTTGGTTATTACTCAGTTTAGAGAGCTGAATCAACTCAAAATCCCATATGATTTCTAGCTAATTATTTGGGGCTTGGTAACACTTGGTAACGATAAAAGATCAAATCCTTGACAATTTAGTATCTCAATATACATATACCGAAATTATGTACACCTTATATCTTCAACGCACTATTTCCCTTCATATTGTGTTTCTTTTACATCGTCTCTCTCATGTTTCTCCGCAACGCTGAATCATTTACTTTTTAGAACGTTAAATCTACCTCGTTGATATAAGAATAAAACTTGTGCACTGTGATAGAGTGTAATTCCATTATGGGTAAATTTTGTTTTGATAAAGTCTCACAGTGTTGTTATACGGTAATATTTACTGATGACCACGTTTCGAGCACTATTTATTGCTCATAATCATATAAAGGTAATCACACGACTTCCTAAATTCATTTATATAGTTCCATTGTTTTTCACTTGATTTGGATTGGTAGTATTATTTTCCATATTTCAGGTATGAGTGATGATTCATTCCTATTGCGTGTGTTGGGTGCAGATTCGATGAACAAAGATTCAGTAATCAACCTCTCTCTCTACCTACCTAGATTACTTAAATAACTATCCTTTAAAATTCATTCCAAAGATTGAAAAAGGCCAAAATAAAAAGAATTGTGAAACTAGTAATAATAACATAAATAAGAGAGAATATAAGTCATCTACAGTTATACCAAATAAAGAGGGGACATCTGAGACCCTACGTAGGATTCTAAATAAAGCAGGAATTAGGGTGGCATTTAAACCTACAAACTCACTCAGGGACAAGCTCTGTAGTTTAAAGGACCCAGTGGACCCAATTAGACAAATTAATATAATTTACAAAATACCCTGCAATGACTGTGAGCTAAGTCAACTACATAGGTCAAACTAGTAGGTCAGGGGTAGTCAGATTGTCAGAACATAAGAATTTAGCTAAGGTAAGAATGGTTGACCCAGAGAAGATAAGTAATTTAGAAAAAAGCTCGGCAATTGCAATGCATGCATTAACACACAACCACACAATAGGGTGAGTTGGAGAGGATTAAAATTCTAAAAAGTAATCTAGGTAGGTGGAGAGAGAGGTTGATTACTGAATCTTTGTTCATCGAATCTACACCCAACACATGCAATAGGAATGAATCATCACTCATACCTGGAATATGGAAAATAACACTACCAATCAAATCAAGTGAAAATCAAGTGAAAAACAATGGAACTATATAAATGAATTTAGGAAGTCGTGTGACTACCTTGATATGATTATGAGCAATAAATTGTGCTCGAAACGTCATCAGTAAATATTACTGTATAACACTGTGAGACTCTATCAAAATAAAAATTTACCCATAATGGAATTAAATCTACCTCCTTGTTATTTGATGTTGTTTTCTTCACTTCACTTTAGATACTACTGACAAATCTTATCACACACGTCACAACACTATTAAATCAAATTCTCAATTTACAATAGTTTGAGGAGACAATATTTCACCATAGTTTTTCTTGGGAAACCAAACTACTCAGATCACGGTATGTACTACTGATTGATTGAAATGAGTAGTATATATATATTATATATCACTTATATATATACCACTTAGAACCGCATAGCAACAAAAGTGAATGTACTTCTATGAAATTTGATATGTACTAAAAAGATAAAAATCAAGCAAATAAAGTGCAACAAAGTGCACCTACATATATATAGAAGACCTAATCAACAATAATGCTAATATAGTATATTTTAAACAAATACATCTAAAGACAATATAACCACCCGGTGAATAGAACAATTAAATCAGATTAAATAATAAATTTCCTCTGTAATAAAAAGGATCAAAACAAAGTGTCAGTTGAGAAATTGATATGAGAAAAGCTTATCAGACAGCGAGAGAAGAATAAAGTACCACAATATGCTTCATTTTTTTTAAAGTAAAAATTGAATCCCTTTATTACTATTCATCACTATGCACTCAGAAAATAAAGTGCTGTCATCATGTAAATGATGACAGTCAGTTATAGAGTACTTATAGAGATAATATCAAAACAAGTGGTGATTCAGTGAAGAGACTCTTTTCAACAACGAATTTATTATCAAGCTATACAATCGTATATATATATCTGGTTTTTAAGAAGTTATATCCGATGAGGAAATTCAATCATAGGTGTGAATGTATAAAATAATAATAGTGGTAGTACTAGTAAAATGCAATTAAAATTAGAATTTTTGAGATTATAATCATAGTTTAATGTCGAGTGCGTCGGTAGCATAGCGGTTAGGACGCTCGCCGACCACACAGGTGGCCCGGGGTTCGATCCCCGGCCGGCGCACTCCCTAACCTGGCTAAGCCAGAAATAATGCTGGTGAAGAGGAAAGGTTAAGCATGAGGCTAGCGACCCCATCCTGTAGAAATAAACACTGCTACGGAAACTTCAAGCCTCTAGCTTGAAACCCTATGTTCCACTGGGAACGTGAAGGAATAAAAAAAAATAGAATAATTCATAGGATGTATAGATGTTGGAAGGGGGTTCGCAATTATAGGATTAGTAGGCAAATCGAATAAAATAAAAACGTTACGTAACATTGTGTGAAATTTGAAAACATAGAATTAAACGTTGCATAACAGAATTGATTTAGAATGACAAGTGGAACAAGTGAAATAATACCAAGGACAATTCAAAGTGAGAATAATAATAGTAATAGTAATAGCTGACGTAATAAAGGGAGAGTATACAAACTGAATAGACAAAATGAAAAATATTGGTAGAGCCAAAATATGATTAGGGATTACCATACTTTAGCATAGAGGGATTAAGACCATGAAAATTGGAGGGGTTGAACGAACTTTTCCTGTATACACAGAGATCTGGCTTTTCTGTTTCGGTAAGCAAAGATGGCTTCAGCAATACAGATGAGTCGGGTACGTAGTGACTTAGGTAAATTGCTTTTTGCCTTGTAGATGAACTTAAAGGTGGAGGCTATAGAGATAGGGTGATCATTATCGACCAGATGTTCAATGATCGCGCTTCTTATTGCTCCACTTCCACTTCTTCGTAACTACCATGCAGGAGAGTGTTCTTGCACCCTCTTGGACAAAACTCGAGTCGAACGACCGATATACCTAGTTCCACACCAGCAGGTGAACTGATAAACAGAGTTGACCAACGGCGGGATCCTGTCCTTCATGTTATTGAACAGTAATGATTGACTGGTAAAGGCTATTCTCAAAGATGCAGCAGGGATTATAATCACAAATATTTTAGTTGCATTTCTTACTACTAGTATAATTTTATGCATTCACACCTATGATTCAATTCCTCACCGGATATAACTTCTTAAAAACACTATATATATATACATATATATATATATACGATTGTACAGCTGCATAATAAATTCGTTGTTAAAAGGAGTCTCCGCTGAATCATTTGTTTTGACTTATAGAGAAACCAATAAAACTAGTGAGGACTGAACACGTTGTCCAAGAAGAGAGAGATAGAGAATGACAATCAACCTGTCAAACTGACCCGAAAAATAAAACACACTACACTCATTATTTATTTAAAAGAAACATTTAGGTAGATTTGAAAATTCCCATTCAGTCATAGAAAAGAAAAGGCGTTCAGCAAAGAGTTACTCTTTTCGGTGATATCATTCTCAAGCTGTACAAACCGCAAATTTATAGTAATTTTTCTTGGCGACAAAAGGAATATTTCCAAAGATGTGTTAATGCAATTGTTAATTTTTGACAACAAATTACGTAATTTAGAAGACGTTAATCGGTTAGAAACTAAAATAAAGTTACAAAAGTAGGTTGGGTGACGTAGTCTAATTGATAGGGTTCAATAAAAAATGAATGAGAGTCAAGTTAATAATCTGAGTAGAATTCACTTGAAAACGGATGAGAGTTAAGTTGATAAGCTGAGTAGAATTCACTTAAAAATAAACGAAAATGGAGTTAGCAACAGTCGTCATGAGGGTAGAGATTTAATAGAGGGTAGGGGTAGAAAATAATGCAATGACTGGAAGGTGGACTAATCTCAGCAGAGAACTTTGTACACACAAATATGCATCGCGCTTGAACCTGCCACACTTCATGAAGCACACAAAGGAAGATAATAGAGAGGGGAAAAAAGATCCGAAAGAACGATGATGAGCAGAAATGTGAAGAAGACAGAATAGGAACATGGACAAACAAGATGTTTTTTTTTGGTGGGGGAAATCGCAGATCACAAAGACTGAATGCATCTGCACCACATAATGAGAACGAGGATTTTGAGACATATCACCAATTGTCTCTAGCCTACACTGGTTCTTACCATCCCGAGGACCCCAAACCAGCGAAGAAGTCTACATCTTCGTACGTGGCTGGCTGGCTGGCTCAAACTAACTGCCAAGGAATGCATGGACTGATGAAGCCATGTTTTCATTTGACCACCACTACCACCATCAGCCATTTTTCAACCTGATTTTACTTAAGTCAGCTAACATTGCCCATTATCGAGGAAGCCGATGGATAGAAATGCGTAACATTTGTGGGCTGGTTATCTCAATCGATGTAGCTTCACAACCTCGTCGAATGACTTCCACTCGACTGAAGCTTAACCTCAATATAACTCACCGCATTATACCTACCACCTAACACCGAAGGTAAAACGCAGACATATATATATATATATATATATATATATATATACGTCTTCTGATCGATAACCGGTTATCACGTCTACTAAGCCAGAGATGACGTAGGTTGTATCTTTTGTATCCGTGTTGACAGTTTTCTTCGGTGACCGATTACCCGCCCCGCTGGGCCTGATGCAACTTCCCAAATAAGTGAAGTGGTCAACACACTCAGCCGCCAGTTCACTTTAACAAGTATCCTGTAAAATCTAGAATAAACACCCAAGAAAATTTGTTCGCTGAAACATTCATGATACTCCGTTTTTCTGATAACAACATTTTATTTACTCTTCTAAAAAGGAGGATATCTCTCAGGGAAGTTATTTAGACGCCCCCACTCACGGACCATTCGCACAACCTCAAGTACTTCACATATGTGAATTTAATACCTGGGCAAACCTAAAGTGGAAGTCAATTTTTTTTCACGTGGAACGCTATACAGAAGTGCAGTCAGTTCAAAAGTCACCAAACTTGATAAAGCCATACATTCATATGACAGGAGGAATACATGTGTACATGAAGAGTAATCAGAAGTTACAAACAGTGAATGTATCCATCAGTGCCAGTGAGAATGATTTTGAGCCATCTCATCATCTCAAGTCTTGAAGACTCCTACAAACAGGTAGTCTACGCCTCCCATGGTGGTTCAAACTAACACAGTGCATCAGTAGCACAGCGGCAGAATGCTCGCCAATCACACGTCACATGGTTCGGAGTTCGATCCTCGGTCACCGATGCATTCCTAACCCCCCCCACCCCGCGCTTATTAGCTGGTTAGTGAGCCCGATGAAGAGGGTGAGAGGTTGAGTGTGAGACTGGCAACCTCACCCACCGTGTAATAGTAAAAGCATCGCTATTGAAACTTCAGAACTCATTAAAATGGCTTGAAGCTTTATGCCCCACCTGACATACAAACCGTTGACTCAAAGACAGAATAATCGCTAGAGGTATGGAGTCGACTCTCAGACGACAGACTTCCTGAAGTTCGTCTAGAGTTAGTTCACTCGTCCGTATTTTTTTTCCTTCACGTTCCCCAGTGGAACATAGGGCTTCAAGCTAGTGGCTTGAAGTTTCTGTAGCAGTTTTTATTTTACAGGATGGGGTTGCTAACCTCATGCCTAACTTTTCCTATTCACTAGCATTATTTCTGGCTTAGCGAGGTAAAGGAGTGCGTCGGTCGGGGATCGAACCCCGGACCATGTGCATGGTAGGCAAGCGTCCTAACCGCTATGCCACCGACGCACACTCGTCCGTATTAGTAGACCAATAAAAATAGACAGAAGACTGAGTTTAATGGGTAGCAACCCTATATCATCACCGAGGATAAAAACAATCACCTTTACCGAAATTTTAAAAAATTTCAAACCGCATGTTCCTGCTGCGAGCAAGACAGGGGATGAGCAGAAATTAGTGTCAAATTCTTGTGAACCAAAATAATCATTTTAGTTAAACAGAAAACTGACAATACACTTCGAACAGCAGGGAGGCGGAGGGGGGCGGGGCAACGATTTCCACGGGGGAAAATTTCCAAATTAAGTGGAACAGAAAAGAGAATAGTTGAATTACACAGTTACATGAGAAAATATTTCACTTATAAAATAACGCGATTTCAACTGTGTAAAAATGATGATAAGTATATAATCCAACTTCCTCACTTCCCCCCCCATCTCTCTCTCTTTCAGCTTGATTTTCTTATTGTAAAGTAATGATCATGAACAAAAAACAAAGAGTTTTAATTGATGAGCAAAACATAACATGTGGTGTATCAGTTTGATAATAATATAAAATGTCATCATTAAAACTGTACATCACATTGCAATGTTAAACTACATATCTCATAGACGAAAGCACAGTGACCCTGAACAACCAATCAGAAGAATACAGATGCAAAAAAAAGGCATCATCGTTGAAAAATGCAAAAAAACATTGCAAAACATGATATTAAACTGGATGATTGGAGATTATATCGCGGTGTAAAAATGTCTCTTAGTCACTATAAGAATAATCTCTATATATAGAGAAAGATCACACCATGTATTCTCATTCACCCAGCTGGTGGTGACTGTAGATCATGGTACTTTGAGGTTCATTAATATTTCTGACAGATTTCTCTAAGAAATTACTCCTAAGTCTGACTGTAATCCTAACTTTAAACACTAATCCTAACCTTAACCCTACCACCTAACAGTATAGATTTATGGAAAAAGTACCTAAAGAATAAGTAGAATACCATATCTACCCTCGTTAAATCCAAAAGGGCAAATATGATTTGATTTGGAATGACATTTCATCATAACATTCCCTAAATCTGATTAGTTCTTGAAGGTCAACACTTTTGACAAATCTTGACTTTGGCTATATATATTATATCATACAATACAACTTCGCCTAACATCATTGCATCAAATGAGATGTAGCATTCTAAGGTCCAATTTTTTTTAACATCACTCATCGAATACGTTCATTTCTTTGATTGTTCCTTGCATTTAAAAAAAGAATATAGGGGACTTCAAGCTAAAAGATTCCACAGTATAGAAGTGATGAGGCCTACTGAAGATTATATATATATAGCGTCGGTGGTATAGGGGTTAGGACGCCCGCCGACCATGCACATGGTCCGGGGTTCAATTTCCGGCCACCGACGCACTCCTTTACCTCGCTGAGCCAGAAATAATGCTGATGAAGAGGAAAGGTTGGGCAAGAGGCTAGCAACCCCATCCTGTAAAATAAACTCTGCTACAGAAACCTCAAGTCTCCAGCTTGAAGCCCTATGTTCCACTGGGGAAAGTGAAGGAATATATATATATATATATATATATATATATACCAGAAGAGGTTTAGGAGTGCGTCAGCAGGAGATCGTGTCGGGAACTCAGGTGTTGGCTGGTTGGTTGGTTGGCTAATAAGCATTCTACTACTAACTCTAATTTTGAAGCATACACAAAATCAATATTTAAAAATCAATTTTTAAAAATTAACAGCAACAACAACCACATAATAACAATTTGAATTACTTTCAGCAAGTCCGTGTTTCGATGACATTTTCATATTACTATTATTATTCCGTGATATCGAACAATATTCCGACAGAGGATCAGCAGAAGCGGCAGCAGCAAGCAGCAGAGGTAGACGAAGAATTGTTTATAATGGTATTATTACTAGAATATCCTGACAATTCTGATGTAGTCATAGTATTGTGATTATTGTTATTAGAAACTAAACCTTGTTGAAGTTGTTCACAGATACGTGCAACAGCTTTCGCATCATTTTGCCAATTAATTTCATTTCGATAAGCAGCAGCATTATCACCATCAATAATATTTCCAGTTCCAATATCACCACCGCAACCGCCAATCATTTCTGTTTGATGTTCAGATATTGATGTGGATGATGAGAATCGTGAGCGTTTTGAACATGGTGATTCACTCATATACGATGTACAGTTCCCAGTGTCACCACCACCACCACCACAACCAGTGATTGTATGTGATGAATGATTATTTGCTTCTAATTCATTTTCTTGTATTACTTCGAATAACATTTCCACTTCTTCAGCGATCACTTTTGATGAAGTAGATGGATGTCGTTCTGAACGTGAAGATGTATTATTATTATCATTATTATTATCCATAGTAGCAGTAGTAGTGGTATTCGAAGATAATCTATCTTCTCCTTCTAATAATAATAGATTACCAGCATTAGAATTAGTTTTAGCCTCAAGAATTAATTGTTCAAGTTGATTATCATTCCATTCAGCTGGAGGTATAGAATAATTTGATGATGATAGTAGAGATGTTGCTGACTGATAATTATGCATAGGATTGATACTATTATTATTATTATTATTATTACTAGCTGTAGATAATTCTTCAAATGAATGACTATTATCCGTCAATAGGGAACTGTTGAACGCCATACTATTTAAAATTTGAAAAAAACAAAAACAAAATAAATACGGAGATTTAGCTTAACGTAGTAGAAAAAAACCTTTTTCATCAAAAAATTAACAGAGAACAGAAAAGCATTTCATTGTAGATTATTGCAAAAGTAACAAGAAGAAGATGCCCTTCCACCCCCCACCCCCAGTTACTCCCCAAAACGGCCTGGTACACTGTCTGTCTGTGTGTTTTCGACATTGAACTATGCACCTATGTGCGGCAGTTCAAGTCGCCACACTCCCTCCTTGTAGCACACAAAGCAAGAGAAGAAAGTAGGAGAAATGCATAATAATATAGACAGTAAACAGAGGTGTGAGACAAAGGAATAGTAATAACAAAGAACAAAACAGTTTCATTGGAAATCATAAGTCACAAGGAGTGGATGCATCTGCACCAGCCATTGAGAACGATTTTGAGCCATGTCACCAATTGTTTCCAGCCATTGGTTTTCACCGTCCCGAGGACCCCAACCAGTCAGGAAGTCTACACCTTCCTACGTGACTGGCTTAAACTAACTGTTATAGATTTCATTGACTGGTGCCATGTTTTCGTTTGACCGCCACTAGCTCTTTTCCAGCCTGGCCCTATGTCAGCTAACATTGCCCATTGTCGAGGAAGGCGATGACTATGCATACGTAACACATGTCCTAACCATCTCAGTCGATGTAATTTCACAGTCTCGTCGACTGATTTCCCCTCCTTACCTAACACTCGACGCCTAACCTCAATATTGCTCACCTTATTATACCACTTCACGCGGGAGATAGAACGCAGACACCTATGATCGAAGACAGCTAATCTTTTCATGTCTTCCGCTCTCAATGGCCAGGTCTCACAGCCAGCAATAAAGGAGGACGGAGCGGACTGCTGAGCAGTACCTGGTACACAGCAACGAGTGGATAGACTTCGGTCTTCCTCTCTCTAAATCCCCTCACATATGATCACATTTGCATAGCTTGCGTTATGCCTTCTCAGACGGATGTATGTAAAAAATTTTGACCAAAACCAGCTGAATTCAAGAAAAGCAAGTTATCACATATGGAACAAACAGAAACTCGATGCATCATATCACATTAAACACAGTGTAGAATTGAAAGTTTACCTGAACGAAGAATATTCTATTCAATAATTTCTCCTCTTCAGATTCTTACAATTTGTTGTCGTTACAATAATGATAGTCAGTTATGCGGCGGATGCATTTTTTCTAACGTAGAATAACAGATTAGTTAAGGGGAGTCGAAGTAAATAGTAGTACAACTGGTTCCCTTGATAAATTTCGATAAAGAAAGGAAGACGAAATTTGCAGTACTTAGTTGTGTCTGTTCAAGGTAGCCCATAAAGATATCAGCCAGGATAGGTCCCAGAGGTGAACCCATAGCGACCCCATCAATTTGTCGGTAGAGTTGATTGTTGAATTTGAATTGTATATCTGCAAATTTCGTCTTCCTTCCTTTATCGAAATAAATAGTAGTACTTGTGTGACAAACGTGCCCTGGGCTGAAATCGATTACAAAATATTGTGAAATGGGAGACAACGGTGGTGGTGATGATTAGTCACAATAGATTTGTAGAGTGTGAGGTAGGAAAATTGACAATTCAGTTCAAGGTTATAAAAGGTGTCAGGTGAGTGGCTAGTACAAAGTGGTCTGTGTTAAACAGGAGATAGTAAGACTGCAATGAGAGATTCATAATGAAATAACGAATGTGTGAAATGAAACAGGTGGAGGCATATATTGAGAAAAGAGATAATATCACTAATAATAAGTCCGGATAGTATAAATAGAAAATTCGATAGTATTGAGAGAATGTTTGCATGAAGGATGTAAATTATGACGAATAATAATAATTCATAATAAGCAAAGAAAGAAAAAAACCAAGAGGGTTAAGGGGAAGAAGCACTCTTGATGAGAAGAAGAAGAACCATGAATCCAAGTTTGGCCACGGTAGGGACAGCGTCTGGACGTGTTCTTTTTGGATACAAAGTTCCAGTTTAGTCAATCTTAATGCAACAGCTTCAACTATATGTAGCAAACGTAAGCAAACTGTACTTCGTAATTCGGTATATAACCCTGAAAGCTGTGTTGATGTCGATGTAATGTCTAGTATCGACCAAGTGTAACAAGATCAAGCTTTTTATGCATTTGATTCCATTCCCCCCCCCCCCACCCACACTGCTGCCTAGAATAGTAGACAAATCTCCTAAACAACCTCATCGACTTTGAAAAAGTCTTCGATAGAGTTGAAACTATTTCAACGCTATGGCAGCCCCGAATCAGTTTGGATATCTACTGCAGTATCTGTAGTATCAAAAAATTCAGATTTCCAACATCAGTAGTCAGTGTTTTTATATGGGTCAGAATTTTGGTGCAACTGTAGACTTTTATCAACATCTGCCTTTACTGGTTCCATACACGCTGAAGGTCAGACAACCGAACGAACAGAAAGTATTAACAACACGGAACTCTGTAAAAAAAACCTATCCTCGATGCAAAATGAAGATGGATCGGATACATACTGACGAGACCGTTGAGTGACATCACACGCAAGGCCATCGGTCGAGTTGAACACGAATGCAAAATGTCCTATATTCTGGAATTTTAACAATGTATGATTACTGGAAGAAGAAATTCGCTCATATCAACAGTTGAAAAAAGGGGAATACAAGCATAATATAATAGCTAGACGGCTATTAGATGCAGCCTAACCCCACCCCCACACACATAACTGTGGACATTTAGATGGGATTTAACCGATAAGGTTACAGAAAGTTGAACACCTGCATACTTTCCAATTTTATTTCTATCGATTTATTGATGTATGTATCGAAATTAATAGAAATGTTAGGGTTTAAAAACTTTTTAAAAAGATTAATAAATAAATCCCATTTGTTTGTTGAAGGACTTACTCATTCCGGATAATTGATGCAAAATTTTGTTCTGAACTTTGAACACTGGCAACAGCATCAGATATTTCCTCTGGTCCTAATTGAGCATCAAGTAATAGTCGACAGAGACTAGACTGTGCATGAAGTGAACTTTTGGAGGTAGTAGTAGGAGTAGTAGGGGTAGGAGCAACAGTCAACGGTGGTATTGGTTTGTCTATCATCATCATCGTCATTGTGTGTGACGCATATTTATCTTTACTTTCACAAGTAGACGAAGACCATGAAGAGATTGGTTGTGACTTTTCACTGTATTCATACTCTATAATACATAAAAATTTATTAGAGATATAGAAAATATGTAAGTAGAGAAATTATTCTGAAGACAAAATAATCACATTATCAATATTATTGAATATTTAAGTACTATCAAATAAGTGTTACAACACATAGACCGAAATGTCGAGTGTCAGCGAATGAGTGTACAGATGCTTCACAATGGCATCTGAGGATTAACTTGAAATAATCAAGTGGATGTTGGAAAAGGCAGTGATTCGCGTCAGATGGATGTATATGCGTACCTGAAAAATCCCCAGTGAGATTCGAATCCAGTATCCTTTGTTTTAAAATACCAAACTATTATCTACTAGGTAACTTAAGCTATGAGAACCACCTCTTGTGCAATGAGATAGAGCAGGTAGGGTGTGAAGACAAATACTCGCCAAGTGCGCGTGCGTGCGTGCGTGATATCCTGAATTGGCAGAAGTTGAAATTCATGGACTGGTCATTGGATTGGGTCCCAGTGACTGAATGATCTATGAGCTTGCCTTGTAACAGGAAGGTTCTTGATATAACCCCGGAAACTGATAAGTATATATACATATATGGCCAATGACGTAGGCGTCAGAGATGTTCATAACAGGATATATACCTGACCAATTACTTATAAGTGAGAGAAGACAACTATTAAAAGATATCAGGATTTCATCATGAAGTGACATCGGTTAGAGGACCATTGGAAAACCACCAAGGAGTAGTGGACAGCCAGCTTTTTCTTCCTGATGCTTGGGACTGTTCATCAGTACACACCCACCGCCGAGGTTCGGGCCCAGGACCTTCTGGTTACAAGGCAAGCTCATAGACCAATAAGTCAATGGGACGCATCCACTGAGGTTCGTTTTGTAACCAGAAGGTCCTGGGTTCGAAACTCAGCGGTGGGTGTGTACTGATGAACAGTCCCAAGCACTAGGAAGAAAAAGCTGGCTGTCCAGTACTCCCTAGAGGTTTTTCATTGGTTCCCTAACCGATGTCAGTTCATGATGAAATCCTGTAACTAATTAATCAATTCAAATCCCTGCAAACCACAACATTTGAGTTATCGTTATTTTTCTGTTTAAGTTAATTTGCTGTTTTTCTCATTAACTGAAACGAAGTGGGACTAGATGGTTTGAGCCACAGTGGAAGCACTATCCCTACTCATTTATCCAGTTGACAATTTCCAAATACGACAAAATGTGAATTCTAAATCCCACTACTAGTTCATTGTTCACACCAAAATAACAATAATATTCAATTCAGTTTACCTTATCCTAAAAAAAAATATATATCATATGTCATTTTTAACAATAAGAGATGAAAGTATATCAAGAAAGAGAAAAAAAACGATATATTCAAGAGAGTTAAATAGAAACTAGTTCATCAAAAAAAAAGAAAAGAAACAAAATACAATACCAATTATTAATAGCTTTAACAGTCAACTTGGTAATATGCTTAGTGTATTGTGTAGCATAACCTCAGTATTGCTCACCCTACTATACCACTTCACATGTGAGATAGAACACAGACACCCATGACCAAAGACAGCTCGTCAGTCAACCAGGCTTTTCATGTCTTCCACTTTCAGTGGCCATGTCCCATGTGGAAAGGGATGTTCCCCATAAGTATGAAAGAGTAAATACGGACGTCTTACGCTTACAACTGCACTGGTAAACACTTACAGGTGTCTATTTAAGCGAGCTAAACCAAAAAAGTTCTGATTCCCAACCTTATGACGAACATTAAGCATCAGAATTCGAACGGATCGAATAGCGTATGAGCTTGTTTTGATTACGGAGAACCACAGGAAGGCACAGTTTCACTGACTTGTGAATCAGGATTCAAAAGTAAATCGTTCCGTGAAGTGACCTCTTTCAAGACAACCACCTGTTTCAATAAGCTCGACCAACCAGGTAGTATCTAATCCGTTGCACAAACTATAACTACCTAAGTTTCCGCTTTAGTGATTATAATAATAATTATAATACCAATACATTGGAAACCTAGAAAATCTTAATCTAAAACTGGTAAACACGCACTGTGGTAGAGTATAATTCCACTATGGATAAAAACTGTTTTGTCCCATATTAGATAAGTTTGTTTTAAATATCACACAATGATGATGCTGTATTAACATCTGGATGACAAGGTTTCGAGCATAAATGATTACTGCTCATAATCGTATCAATTTAGTCACACAGCTTCACAATTCGTCTTCTAGATATCTTCTCTCTTTCTCCGACTTGTCCCTTGTTGTTTGTCGCCACATTCCATATCTCCATTATTGGCGGCGTTGTGTGATTCCGATTGCACATGTTGTACGGTGTTGAATCGATAAAGAAAACTTCAGTGATTAACCTCTCTCTATCTCTCCACCTAACTATATTACCTATTAATGCTCTCATCCTGTCCTACACAACCTATTTTGTGATTACGTGATTGCAAGTGAATACAATTCAGTGGCTGAGTATTTTTCTAGGTCAATCATTCTAGCTAGGTCTAGCTAGATTTTTATGTTCCGATAATCTAATTGACCCCAATCTACTAGTTTGACTTACCTATGTGGTTGACCTCACAGTCATTACATAGTATTTGGTAAATTATATTACTTTTCTTAATTGGATCTATTGTGCCTTTAAGCATACAAAGTTTATCTCTGAAAGAGTTGGCTGGTTGGTTTAAACGCCACCCTAATTCCAGCGTCATTGAGAATTCTACGTGAGGCCTCTCACGTTCCTTCGTTCTACGGCAGTATTACAGATGCTTTGAATTCGATAAAATTTTCGTCATTTTTGCTACTAATCTTAGTTTTTCTATGGTTCTTCATATATTTCTGAAGCAGTTCTGGTGGGTAGTGTGTTTTTCACTAGTAATATTTCCTTTATTTGTTTGATTTTTGATTATTTAAATCTTCCGGTCCACTAGTTAGGCTCTTGGCCCGATGATATAAACATTTAACTAAACCTATTTTAGTTGGTATTAGGTGATTGGAGGCAATCGGCCACAGGAAGCCTTGGACCTAGAATTCGTGCTAGTTGGCACTCATCGGCAAGGGGTATCTGCCGATTGCCTCCAACCATCTAATACCAACAATTCACAATGCACCGTAATGGCGAACCACCTAGTGGCATGGTGGCCACATTGCAAACATGACTGATAGAATTCAGTCTGCACCGAAGATAGGACTAGACAGATTACACTAGTTACTGACTGACTAGTGTCCAGTCAAAAATAAACCTGTCTTTACCGATTCTGGATAGGATGGATTAAAGTCTTAGTATTTATTAGAATGTGTCAGTTTCCTCACCATCTTGTTTTCATTTTATTCTACAGTCTACCTAGCCAACTGACCCTGTTCATTTTCTAACTCAGAAGCGAATTGAATTACGTCTACTATTGAGTTTATATGTGCGAGATATTGAGGGATATGTTCAGATTTCAAAACAGTATTGAATGCGTCATCCATATATCTTCACCATAACCTAGATGGAGCAGGATTAAACGTTCTAAGAGCCTTAAGTTCCCAAACATCCATAAATACGTCTGCTACTACTACTGGGGGTAGTGGTGATCCCACTAACCCCCCCCCCCATTCGTTTGTTTACATAGTTTATATTGGAATTTGAATAGAGTAGAAGTTAGACATAACTGAAGACCTAATAGTATTTCATCAACCGAGCGAGAGCTTACTCCTACTTTTGAGTTCAGGTGAGGACCAATGTTTAGTTCATTTTTAACTGTCTCTAGAAACGTATTAATTGGAATATTAGTATAGTATATAGACTGGTTATGTCAAAACTAATCATTCTTTATTTCATCTTTTTCTAATTGAATTTCCTCTAGTTTCTGTTTCATTCCATAGGAATTAGTTAGCCGCATAGAATTTGACCTATCTCTAATGAGGCATAATGTGCTAATGCTAAATATTTAGCTAACTCGTACGTTGAGGTGTGTTCCTAAAGTCAACTAAGTTTTACACTTATATTATTATTATTTCCTTCGAAGTGAGGACAGGAGTAAGACAAGCTGGCTGCCTACTATCGCCAATGATTTTCCTGATTGCAGTAGACTGGATAATGCGACAAACAGCGGGCAATGAGGAAACAGGCATAAAATGGACTCACACAAAAAACCAACTTGGAGGATCTGGACTTCGCCGATGATATATGTCTGATTTCCCACAAACTGGAAGATATGCAAGCGAAAAGCAACAAGTTGGCAGAAGAAGCATCCAGAGAAGATAGGACTTCAGGTGAACATAGAGAAACAGAGGTGATGAAGATTCCTGGGCAACAACATCAACAGCAACAACAACAACAGACAACAATCAGCATAAATGGGAGGAACCTGAAAGAAACAACCTCTTTTACCTACCTACCTGGGAAGCATCGTTTCAACTACAGGCAGACGGAACTGACGAGGATATCAAAGCAAGAATCGGAAAAGCAAGACAAGCTTTCACTACTCTCAAGTCTGTGTGGAGGTCAACAGCACTCAGCATCAAAAATAAGATCCGGATTTTCAACTCCAATGTGAAGTCAGTGCTACTCACCATACGGATCAGAGACTTGCACTGCGCGTCATAAAGAGCATCTCAAACAAACTACAGACCTTCATTAACAGTTGTCTTCGCTCAATACCACTCAAGATCAGATGGCCAGCCGGCCAGAAAAGATCAGCAACAGAGATCTCTGGCAATGAGCGAACCAACTCAGCAGGAACCGATTGTGAAAGAAATAGGCAGGAAGAAATGGAGATGGATTGGCTGGCCATACTCTGAGGAAACAATCCATCAAGTGACATCACTAGACAAGCCATTGCTCGAGTGGAACCCGAAAGGGAAGCGGCGAGTTGGTCGTCAGTGCGAAGGTGGGGTGACTTGGAGGAGGTGATGTGAAGAGGAGATGAAAGCGTGTGGGCAGACTTGGAGCCAGGTGAAGACTCTAGCAGAGAACCGAACGCAATGGAGACGCACGGCTGAAGCCCTATGTTCCTCTAGGAATTAAAGGAAACAATAATAACAATAATTATAATTATTATTTCCTTTAGTTCCTAGATAGAGGAACATAGGGCTTCAGCCGCACGTCTCCATTACGTTCGCTTCTCCGCCAACGTTTTCATCACCTAGCTCCACATCTGCTGCCCACATGCTTCATTCTCTCTTCATATAACCTCCTCCACCATGTCACCCTCACGCTGACGACCACTGACTCATTTACACTTACATAAAAAATTATTCTGATAAAGTCACACAGTTATATATTTACTGATGACCACCAACCACCACGTTTCGAGCACAAATTATAATTACTGCTCATAATTATAGAAAGAAGTGAAAAATGAAATATAAATAATAAACACATTATCATTCATTCCATTTTACCTGGATTATTTGAATATTTCTCAATAGAAGATGATGAATCAGTGTGAAGAAATGTTATCGCTTTATTGTCAAACGATGATGAATTACACAGCATAGTAGTAGGCGTTGTAGCAGTAGTAGTCGTATTAGTAGTATTAGTAGTGGTCGTATTAGTAGTATCATACATTGATTCTTGTGAAAATGGTCTCATCATTTTAGCATAATCATTCTGTCCATAAGAAGCAGGTGTTGTATACTTGGGTGAACCAAGTGATACCGGTGAACTGGACATAATATCTGTGATTGATGGGAAATCTTGCATCAGAAGTTGTGTTAATGATGTAAACGGTGGACTAGGTATTACATCAGAATTATTATTATTATTATGATTATTATTGTTACTTTTATAGTCGTTTATCGCAGTATTTTTTCTTGAATTAGGCATCTCTTCAAATTGTGAAGCATGTCGAGTTCTCTTGTTCCCAGGAGATATATGTGATGAACTAGTTGATGGGAAGGATGTCGATGACGATGATGATAATGAAAAAGAGGAAGAAGAAGAAGGAATAGACTGAGTGGTCGCTGGACCACTACGACATCGTTTACTAGTACTCACTACCAATGGTGTATCGTATAAATTGTCAAGTGATGCAGTGATAAGTCGACAATCTGATTTCCGATTGTTTGATTGTCTTGTCTCGTTTACAGTAGCAGGGTTGTTGTTTAACGACGACGAGTTGCAATCTGGCATATCTGTCATAACAGGACGAGGCAATACTGTTGAACAGACTAATTTTGGTGAAGTCTAAAAATAAAAATGTATTCAGATTTTTAAAACAAAATTACTTCAGCTGAAAGTAATAAGATAAGAGATACATGCAAAGAAAAAATAATTGCATCATTCAGATATCAATCAAAATGAAATTCATATCTAGTCGAATGATTATGAACTGACATCAGTAGAACAGGACCATCGACAACCAAGGAGTACTGAACTGGTGTTTCGTCCCAGCACTGAACTCTTCGGTAGTATAGAGTAGGAGTCTCACAAACTAGGATGACACAGCTTTCTAGTAATCCCTAATGTTTCAGCGGGTTCCGTAAGCAATATCAGTTTGTAACCTAACCTGAAACCCTACAAATCAATACTTTAAAATGATACAGTAATCGATGCCCAGTCTGTAAATAGACCAATCAGAATTTGACCTAATTAAAATAACACCCACTACTATTATTTTTATTGATCATGATAATAGACTAACTGACATATCCTTGGTGATATTTTGAATGGCAACATTATTGGTGTGAAATGTAGTTTTGTGGCTCACACATCATGGTGCGTTCTTGTTTAGGCTGTGGAGGCTTTGGGAAACCGGTAGCTATCTGTATAAAATGTTGCTGTCTGTCTGTCTGTTTTCGACATAGAACTTTGCACATATGTGCGCCAGTTCAAGTCGCCACACTCCATCCATGTAGCACATAAAGCAAGAGAAGAAAGTAGGAGAAATGAATAATATAGACAGTAAACAGAGGTGTGAGACAGAGGAATAGTAATAACGAAAAACAAAAACAGTTTCATTGGAAATCATAAATCACAAGGAGTGGATGCATCTGCACCATTGAGAACGATTTTGAGCTATGTCACCAATTGTTTCCAACCAGTGATTTTTTTAAATGTTGCTGGAGTAGTGAAGCAGTATTCGTGATCAATGCTTTTGTGTCCAGCATCGGTGTCCCTACTATCCGATTCTTTTGCATTCTCAGTGTCATATTTACGCAATCAAATTGCTTGTTCATAACAGAAAATGATAACCAACAGAAAGAAACTTGATCATACAATTATTATTATTATTATTATTATTATTTGAGTGCTAAAATCAATACAGAGTACCAGAGGTTGTATAGTGCAAAAATTTGAGAAGCTAGTGAAACGTCTATCTATAAGTTTAACACAATTACAATAATAATAATAATTAACAAAAGTAATTTTAATTGTATTACAGTAGCAAAAAAACATCCTTATGATATTAAAATATTTCATTATGAGCTGTTGACATCGGTTAAAGAACCACTGGAAAACCAGAATGTTGTTTCGTCCTAGTTTGAGACTCTTCAACAGCAGATAACCACCGCCGGGATTTGAACCAACGACCATCCCGTTACAAGGTATGCCTGCAGACCATTATACTACTGCGACCCGATCTGAGAGATCAATTAATGAATTTCAACTTCCAGTGACCAGTAGGGTGCAGCAGATCGGGTGTGAAGACAAATACTCGCCGAAAACATTGGCTAGCGGTTGCGCTATATCGTGAATTGGCAGAAGTTAGAATTCATGTGCTGGCCATTGGATCGGGTCCCAGTGGCTGAATGGTATACAAACTCGCCTTGTAACCAGAAGGTCCTAGGTTCGAATCCCGGTGGGTGCGTACCGATGAAGAGTCCCGAACTAGGACGAAACAGCTGTCCAGTACTCCCAGGTTTTCCAATGGTTCTCTAACCAATGTCAGCTCAAGATGAAGTCCTGTAACCAATCAACCAAATCCTTACAAACCAATACTTGAATTTCAACTTCCACCAAAAATTCACAATATAATGCAACCACTAACTAGTCAGTGCCATCATCGGTGGCGAGTATTTGTCCTCACACCCGACCTGCTATACCGCACTACTGGTCATGACGACTTCCCATTGGAACCCGGGTAATAATAATAACCACCTACCTGCAAAAAGACCCAGTCGCTAGTGAGCATTTGAATATTATTAAAACATTTATAGTGAAATTGCACAACTTACTCCATCATGGATAGTGGCAGTGGTAGCAGAAGCAGAAGCAGTAGTGGTTGTATCTGAATGGCCAACTGAATGATTTTTTGTTGGATGTAGTAAACGCTGTTAAGAATTTCAGGGGGGGGGGAAAGAAAAGAAAAATACAGTGAACATTGTGAGTATTAAATCGATAATGTTAGGAATTATAGATCATCAAATAATAATGACATAATAACAATAATAGTTGAAATCAGTGTCTACGCCTCACTCATTTATTATTATATTTATTATTACTATTATTATTCTTTCGGGTTCCAAGTGAAACATACGGCTTCAACAAAACATCTCCACTTTGTTCGGTTTTCAGCCATCCTCATCAGCCGGGTCGACAATTGACCCTAATCTCTCATCTGCTCCTCACCACACGATCTATTCCATGTCACCTTAATATGACCCACTCGCGTTATGGCCTGCATTGAGCGCAAGGTCATTCGACGACCTCCCCTCAACGTATGTCCGATCCATCCACCTCCATTTTCTCATACATACGTTTGTTCAGCAATCGAATCTCCGTTGCTTTGTTCCACTACAGAGTTTATTGTTACTAATTCTTTCTGACCGGCCAGCTGGTTGGCCATTTGATCTTCAGTATGGCTTTGGCGCCATACAGTGAAGGTGGTAGCTGTTGATGGAAGTCTGCAGTGACCTGTTGGAAATCCTTTTCGTGACATGCTGGTCAAGTTTCTGACCGGAATAGAAGCACTGACCGACTTGACATTGGTGTTGAAAATGAAAATCTTGTTCTTAATGCTGACTGAGTGCAGTGTAGAAGACTTCCAAACTTGTTTCAGGATGATAAAGGCGTATCTCGCCTCGCCTTTCCGATTCTGGCTGGCTGGTTTTGATATCTTCACCCGTTTTGACTGCCTGTAACTGAAACGATGCTTCCTAGTTAAGTGAAGGAAGAAACCTCTGTTAAATCTCTCTCGCTGATGATGATCGGTGCTGGTTGTTGTTGCTGTTGTTGATGTTGGTTGGTTATCTTCACTTCGAACGACTCGGTGAGTCTTTATTTATTTAGTCAAGAATAAATCAGCTAGATGTACTCATATCCATATACATATCTAAATCAATGTTTCAGAAGAGGTTAGAACTCAATGTGTATCCCGAAAAATTTGCAGAGCATTTTACATCGAACTACGACGGTTATAAGAAAAATCAAATGTGTTCCGTTTTACCGTTAGTCAGTTATAACACTTAAAGGAGATATATAAAGGCATTAATTAGTTGGAGATCCCGTTAACACATATTTTCGGTGTTTCCTTTTTTTAAAATTTCCACATTCTCTCAATCAAATTAGTGTCCGTAATTGTGTCCACATACACTGACACTAAAGATATACATATATATCGTTTTACAGCTAATTTGTGTTCTAGGATTCTGATTCGAAGGGGATGTCCACTTTCACCGATGTACACAATATCCGATGAAATGATTGCGTTCCCTGCTTGTGGGCTATACCTATTTGAAATGGTCTTAATGTTTGAGTTGTTATTTCAAAGATATTCTTCATATGTCTTTTGGTTTTTGATGTTGGTTTCTTTTCGATGTTCTAACTCGAGTTTAGACACTTTTGATGAAACTGTAAGGATATCCTTTCCTTTCGAAGATAGTTGGTAAGTAATTTTTCTCCATTCTCTTCAACACAAGAGTACTACAGAGTGTTTGAACTCTTTTAAACAATGTCTGCACACAGTTTCTTTTGTAAGTAATCGGGTTTATTACTAATATAGTTGAGTATTTGGTCTGTGTGTATTGATTTTCTATATACTTGTGTTTCTTAATTTCCTGTGTTAGTTCTCTTGATTAAGAGATCTGGAAATGGGATTTTGTTGTCTAATTCTTCTTCTCTTGTGAATTTAATGCCTTCAAATTTGTTGTTTATAAAGAACAGTGATCGCCAAGAGATACAATTACATCATTCATGGAGAATTTAAATAAATCTATTTGATACGAAAACCTGCGTTGAAGATGTTGTCTAGGAAGGACGACAAAAACTTCGCAATTAAATCGACCAGCTCAGAGAACACAATTAATTCAATTACAAATACTTATAGTCAATCTAGAATCCCTTATTTCATCAGGTGAGCAATATTGAGGTTAGGCGTCTATCGACCAAAGGGCGTGTGTACTGCTCAACAGTCCGCTACGTCCTCCTTTATGCCTGTGAGACCTGGCCATTGAGAGCAGAAGACATGAAAAGATTAGCTGTCTTCGATCATAGGTGTCTGCGTTCTATCTTACGTGTGAAGTGGTATAATAAGGTGAGCAATATTGAGGTTAGACTTCGGTCGAGTGCTAGGTAAGGCGAGGAAATCAGTCGACGAGACTATGAAACTACATCGACTGAGATGGTTAGGACATGTGTTACGTATGCACAGTCATCGCCTTCCTCGACAATGGGCAATGTTAGCTGATATAGGGTCAGGCTGGAAAAGAGCTAGCGGCGGTCAAACGAAAACATGGCACCAGTCAATGAAATTCACAACAGTTAGTCTAGGCCACGTAGGAAGGTGTAGGCTTCCTGGTTGGCGGGTTGGGGGCCTCGGGACGGTAAAAACCAATGGTTGGAAACAATTGGTGATATGGCTGAAAATCCTCGTTCTCAATGGCGAGCGCAGATGCATCCACTCCTTGTGACTTATGATTTCCAATTAAACTGTTTTGTTCTCCGTTATTACTATTCCTTTGTCTGACACTTCTGTTTACTGCCTATATTATGCATTTCTCCCATTTTCTTCTCTTGCTTTGTGTGCTACAAGGAGGGAGTGTGGCGACTTGAACTGGAGCACATATGTGCAAAGTTCTATGTCAAAAACCGACCGACCGACCTTATTACATCAATGTACATGTATGAAAAAACTGTTGTTCAGGAGGTAACGAAATCTATCTATCTATATCAGTGAATTGTGGTTCACTGGTGTCCGTACACGCTTCAGTACCACAATTAAACGCCTTATGTTTAACGTATTTCTAGGTCAACGGTCAAATATATGAAAAAGATAAAAAAGGGAAACCGATAGGGTCGTGTACACATCAAGAGTGAGTTCAGAAGCTGTTATGCAAAAGCCTTGAAAAACATAATCCAACTATAAATTGGATACGTTACGTGGATGACACATTCGTGATAATCAAAAGAAACGAATTAAACAACAACACTCACAACCTAATCAACAACATCTAATACACACGAGAAGAAGAATCCGAGAACAAAAGTCTATTTTTAGACATCTTAGTCAAGCAAACAAATCTACAGGAAAATTAAGAACTCAAGTATACGGAAAATCAACTCGAACAGAACAAATTACTCAATTGCACAACGGCAACAACGCAATAGGATATATAAAAAGAATTGCATACAAACATTATTCAAAATAGCCATGATGCATTGCAGCAGCACTCTAACCTTGGAGAAAACTGGAAAAAATATCTTCCAAAAAGCAATGGATTATCCAGGAAAATTCGTCAATAGATATCTAATCTCAACGCAATCGACCGAATCAAAGAAACAAGGAAGAACATTTCCGAAATTATTGCAAGATTATTCAAACCTATTGGAATCAACATCACCTACAAAAACTAACGAAATCACTTCAATCGATTCCATCGCAACAGAAATACAACAGAGAAAGAGGACAAGATAAACACTGGAACGACTAGGGTCAAAGTGGACAACCCCCACCCCTTCACGTTTTCGCACATTCATGAGCATTGACTGACTGTCAAAAAGAAACAAACACGATAATCACCCCCTTCATTGGGATAATCTTTAAGTCTCAGATAGAGGTAATGCCAGAGAAAAAGCGCCAAAGAATTTCTAAAAGCCTGGTATTCAAATGGACCAACAATTTACCGATTCGTAAAACAGGAAATCACATGAACAAAAGTTCAACATTTAGGTCAAATACAAATAAAATCAATACTAATACAAGTAGACTAGAGGGGGAGAAAATACACACAAAAAACAACCAATCATGTTCAAAATTATCGGGAGATGATGACTGATGAACAACTCGTGGAGAATTTTTGAAGCTGAAGATGTTGTCTAGGATAAAAATGAAAGCTTCGCACCTACACCATCCTTAAAATAGAACAAAAGTACACTAGAACTCCCTTATTTACTTATTATCCTCAGAATAATCAGCAATACTTAAGAGCGATGAGCTGACTGACAGACTGGTTTCGACGTACAACTTTGCACAGGTGTACACCAGTTCAACTTCACACAAACCCTCCTAACACACAGAACCAGAGAAGAGAGTAAACACAAATTCAAAAGAGACAATAAACAGAAGTGTGGATAAGACAAAAAGAATAGTAATATCAAAGAACAATTGAGTTTTATTGAAAATGATAAATCACAAAGAGTGAATGCATCTCCACCTGCCATTGAAAACGATTTCGACACACATCACCATTTGTCTCCAACCGCCATTGGTTCTTACCATCACAAGGAACCCAACCAGTCAGTCTACACCTCTCTACGTCGCTGGCCTGCTGGTTGGCTGGCTTAAACTAACTGTTGTGGATTTCATTGACTGATGAAAACATGTTTTCACTTGACCACCACCACCATCAGCTCTTTTCCAGTCTGATCAATACTATGTCAGTCAACTGATATTGCCCGTTGTCGAGGAAGGCGATCGATAACTAGGGATGCATGCATAACACATGTCCCAAACATATCATTCAGTAGATGCAGCTACTTCACAACCCTCCTTATCTAGCACTCGACAGAAGTCTAACCTCAATATAACTCACCCTATTACATCCCTACTACCACCTATCACGAGAGACAGAACACAGACACATGGGCTCAAAGATGGACAATCAGTCAGTCTTTTTATGCCTTCCACTTTCAATGATCATATATCTTACAGCCATAAAAGGAGAATGTAGAGAACTAACAAAATATATACGTCAGTTATAAAAAGAAAAAGTATAAACCTACCACCAATAGACTTTCACTTCTTGGTTGAGGAGAAGAACGTCGTATTTCACTAAAGGTTGGATTTACTGTTGAATTAGACAACAGATTAGTAGTAGAAGGAGGAGTAAGAGTTGTAGCACTACTACAAGTAGTATTAACAACTGTATTATTATTATTAGTGGTAATTGTAGCTGTTGTAATTAATGATGAATTATTAGCAGCATTATTCAATGATAATTGACGATTCAATTGTTGTACATCAGTTGTAGTAGTAGCAGTAGTATTGATTTTTGTATGACTTGAAATAGATCCACTTGGACTACAGGTAATCTCTGTTGGTGTTGGTGTTGCCGTCGATAGAGTTATTATTCCTGTTGTTGTACTAATTGTAGATGAATGTGAATGTAAAGTTTGTGCATGACTGGAATTGTTACCACCAGCGCCACCGCTAGCACTATTCAATGGTGAAATCGACGAATTGTAAACTGATGAAGGTAATGGAGAGATTCCAGAAGATGTTTGTTGTTGTTGGTGTTGTTGTAATTTATCAGCATCTTTTGATTGACACAATGACGGTGGTAAAATGCACAGATCAGCCTCTTCAGATAATAACCATTCAAGCATACAACATTGTGATGAATTCGATAGTTTGGATAAATCACAATTATCAATAGACTCATTATTACTACTATTATTAGTAGTATTAGGATTATATGATGTCTCATTGAAATGATTCGGGTTTGCTAAGGATTGTTTTTCTTCTTCTGTTACTTTATTTGTACGTGCAGACAGAGGAGATAATTTGTTTACACGTGAACAAGGCGGCGATAATTTTTCAATCTGTTCAGTATATTTTTTTTCAAAAAAGAAAAGAAGAAAAAAGATTTTAACTAGAAATAATGGAACGAAAACAAAATAACAATAAAAATATATTTTTCTTTTTTAAAAAAATAATAAGAAGTGAGTGCAACGACGCGTCACTTCACCACAACATACTACTACTACTGATTAGTTGAAATGAGTAGATGGATATATCCCATTTATCACATTAATCTGTTGTGTATGCTAAGCCAGAGTAAATATATATTGTGGTCTGAATAGTTCCGATTTCTGGTGAAATTTCATCTCAAACCGTGTGTGTGTGTTTGCGGGTGTGCAAATTTCCAATCACGAATTCATTAGATCTCGAATGTCAGAGACAATTAACTTCGCCTTCAGGCGCAAAAAACAAAAACGTCATCTACACAAACTGAACCATTCACAAGATGTTTGTTTGCAGTAGAGACGGTACTGAAATAAAAAACTAAGTCAAGCACTAAATATAGCTTGGGATAGTTCTTTCTTCTCACTTTTATTGATTGTCTGTCCTATATCTTATCGATTTCTAAGAAAGTGTTCCGTCTACATTAGGGTATCAGTAAATCTCTACTTTTACCTATTGCTTTATATTTCTCCCCCCCCCCCATTCATAGTCTTTCCTGGACTACTTAAAAAGTACTGTCATATTCTAAAAGGTATCAGAGGTTGTTAGTAGAGGCAAGTGGTGTGTCGTCACTAATTTAATTTTGATTATAGCTTGATTCCACACCGTATTTTTGGTACAAGTACGAAATTTTCAGCATGTGATATCGGTAACCAAATTTTACTGGCCAACCATTGATATCAGGTGTACTCCGGCAGGGGATTGAACCTCGGACCATGTGCAGAGCCGGCGACAGTCCACATTTGGTACCACTGTAGCCAACAGACATTTCAATTCATGGGAGAAATGGGTTAAATCCGTATTGTCTGACTCTCAAACCCCCCTCTCTCCCCCACCTTCTATCTCATCAGGTAGAACTAGGAGTCACTATCAAAGAATTTATGCTGTCACAACCTAGTAGAAATACTCAGCGATACTCCATTTGGTCTGCCTGACTTCTATGTGATAGAGATGGTGCTAAGCGTAAAACAATACAACTTCCCAAGTAATTAGTAAAATAATAATTGATCCTTTGATCTTCTCCTATTTGCAGTTTATGGTGATATTATTTCAATTAACTTATAATTTCAATTATTAACATTATTATCTTCAGTATTATTTTACACTTTTTGTAATTTTTTTTTACTTTATTATTTACTGCTAATATCAAAAAAGCTGACATTATCAATTCCTGTTACGTATACTCTGTATTATTACTTTTTCAAGTAAATTAGGTGAAAACTCTGAGAAAATTAAGCAGATTCTTCTGAACATCTCGGTCAGAAAGAAATCGAGTGTTTGACATGCGATTCGCTCCTGCTGTCAAATGTAGGATTGATGCTGCAGGACTCGACTACATCGACTCCTAGCTTAAAGACTGAGAGTGTTGACCAATTCACTTATTTGGCCGACTGCGTATAAGCTAGCCCCAGAGAGTTGATCGCTGACAAAAATCTCAGAACACTCGTTTGGCGTTTGTCAACTTACATCCTCTCTAACATCATAGGACGTGTACTGCACACCAGCAGTTCTTTCCGTCCTCCTTTTACGGCTGTAAGATATATGATCATTGAAAGTGGAAGATATAAAAAGACTGACTGGTTGTCCGTCTTTGAGCCCATGTGTCTGTGTTCTGTCTCCCGTGATAGGTGGTAGTAGGGATGTAATAGGGTGAGTTATATTGAGGTTAGACTTCTGTCGAGTGCTAGGTAAGGAGAGGAAATCAATTGTACGTAAAGATTGTGAAGTAGCTGCATCTATTGAGTGATATGTTTGGGACATGTGTTATGCATGCATCCCTAGTTATCGATCGCCTTCCTCGACAACGGGCAATATCAGTTGACTGACATAGTATTGATCAGACTGGAAAAGAGCTGATGGTGGTGGTGGTCAAGTGAAAACATGGTTTCATCAGTGAATGAAATCCATAACAGTTAGTTTAAGCCAGTCAGCCAACCAGCGACGTAGAGAGGTGTAGACTGGTTGGGTTCCTTGAGGTGGTAAGAACCAATGGCGGTTGGAGACAAATGGTGATGTGGGTCGAAATCGTTTTCAATGGCAGGCGCAGATGCATTCACTCTTTGTGATTTTGTTATATCCAGTAAATTCCTATATCTTCCATTTGACTTTTCTTTTTCCTTCACTCACACTTCTGTTTCTTATCTCTCTTTTGAATTTGTGTTTACTGTCTCCTCTGGCTCTGTGTGTTACAAGGAGAACATGTGTCAAGTTGAACTGGTGCACATCTGTGCAAAGTAGTTCTCGATTGAAACCAGTCAGTCAGTCAATCAGTCGATCACTATACATTCTGTACAGAGCACCAAAACAGAATGGGAACCAGAGATATCACAAAAAGGCGTGTGTTTTTTCTTCAACTATATCATGTGATGGAAATTCTTCTTTTCATTTACAGAGAGAGAAGCAATAGTTCATTATTCAAATAAACAAAATTTAATTTAAACGTAATTTATTTCCCAAGATATTTGTAAACACACAGGGTGAGAACACTAAACATAAATTCTTATAATAATAGTATACTATGAAACATAAATTCATCCCCTCCCATAACTCCAAGTCAGTAAGAAATGTGACATTTAGAGAGAAAGAGAGAGGTAGGTAGGTAGGTAGGAAGATTTAATTATATACGGAAGAAAATCAATAATTAGTCCCAACATATGTAAACCAACAACGTATGAACAATTTTTTTATATTAAGTTCGAGATTACGGATTGATATCAGTGTAGACAACTTTTGAAAGCTGGCATGGAATACTAGACATTTGTTCCACTGCCTGATTGAGAGTCTTCAACAGCACACACCCTTTGATTCCAATGCCGAGGATAGAGACAAAATCGTTGACCATTCAGTCACTCGGATGGTATCCAGTGATCCATTCGTCCTAACTTATCACTACTGCCAACCAGTCAATAAATAGCACAGGCAACTAAATGTGCTCACACCAGACCTGATGGACACCCCTACTACATTACCCTCACTGGTCACGACTTTTCACGAGAACTTCAGGTAGTTTCGCGCTGTAGTCAATCGCTAAAGTAATGCAGCGTTAAAAAGTAGTTTCATAGGATAACCTTCTTGTACATGTTTCAAAAATACCTGCCAATTCCTCATAGAAATCCTCATAGTTAGATTAAACTGATTTCTGTGCATAAAGTTTATACGAGTTTGACCACGGATTGATGTCAGTTAGAAAAGCACCGAAAACCAGCCACAGGGAGTACTGGAGTACCCGCCTCGTAACCGGGTTCGAAGCCTGGTGGTGGGTGCGTACTGGCGATGATTCTCAAACTAGGATGAAACAGCTGTCCCGTACTCCCTGTGGCTGGTTTTCAATGGTTTTCTAACTAATATCAATCCGTGATCAACTCGTAAAACAAACAGATTAAACAGAAATGCTTATTTCGCTATCTGATAGTTCAGTTGAGTACACTAAAACAGGCTTACTCCATATAATAGGGTTACCAAAGTTATTATTATTATTATTACTGTGAGTCGTAGTACATACGTGTGTAAGTCGTCAGCGTAGCTTTTTACGCTTTTTACATACCATCTAATGTAAACAGGATGTTAACAACAACAACATGTTGCTAGGCCTACTCATATCACATTAGAATCAATACACCGAAATACTAATTCATCACACACAAAATTCTAGTGTATCCTGGAATGACTTATCAACTTCTTATACAGTCAGTCATCATTATATTCCATTACAGTAAGCCTTTTATGTATTTTGATCTCAATAAAATCAAGTCAACTCTAGTTTACGAACAATACAAAATGAGTGTTCGAAATGTCATCAATATAATAAATACTATTTCAAACTTGATCGATCACGTGTTGACATCAGTTAAAGAATCATTGGAAAACTAGTAGACAGTACTGGATAGTTGCTGCTGCTTCTTTCTTCTCCTTTGGGTCTCGTCATCAGCACACACCCATCGGGTTTTCAATCCAGAATTTCAGGGCTACAAGGTAAGCTCGTAAGTCATTCAACCACTGAGAAACTCCTACCCTAATGACCAGCTTCCAACTTCTACGGCGTAACCCGCCAGTCAATGTTATAGGCGAGTAACACTGATCTCTTACCTAACTTAATGAACCACTTCTCAAACCAGTAGGTATGCTCAGGTTTTTTCAATGATTCCTTTTTAACCAGAAGTCAATTGATGATGAAAATTTTAACCAACTAAATTCCTGCAAACCAACACTTGGTAATAATCCTGTTTCGGTGGTACAGCGGTTAGGACACTCGCCGACCATGCATATGGCCCGGGGGGTTCGATTCCCGGCCACAGACGCACTCCTTTACCTCGCTAAACCAGAAATTAAGTTGGTAAAGAGGAAAGGTTGGGCATGAGGCTAGCAACCTCATCCTGTAAAATAAATAAACACTGCTACAGAAACTTCAAGCCTCTAGCTTGAAGCCCTATTTTCCACTGGGAACGTGAAGGTATAAAAAACCAAAAAAAATTGTGTGATATATTCAAAAGGCAAATGAATATGGAATAAAACGAACATATACACCCACAATGTTCAACTATTTACACACAAACACACACACACAGAGAGACACACTGGATCCACAGTATCAGAATGCCCGGAGGGTAAGGAAAGTGTTCTACTTGACTACACAATAAGTAATATAATTCAATTTTAATTTATGCATGCTTTATCGTGAATTTCAAATCCTTGAACATATTTCTTCATCGTCATCACATGTGAATCAACCACCATATGATATTGAGGACTCAATAAAGCAGTAGCAGTATGTTAAATGAAGCAGAATTCAACTGATAAAGTGTTACAGGCAAATAATCATCATAGTACACAAACAAACAAACAAACAAAAAACAACCTATTACAGTCTGTCTCATTGGTTTTCAGTGTTTAGAATACAATAACAAAAGGTAGTCAATAGATCTACTTAGCTGAACTACACCTGTTGTTTCCACTATATCGGAGCGGATTATCTTAGTCATGTGTGTACAGGCAAACAAGGATCTCAGTGGTTGGGCTTGCACATTGCAATGATCCAACAAGCTATACTGGTTGGAACTAATATTCCTGCAGGTTCTACCATGCCACGAAGGTTGTTAGGACAGCTATCAGACTAAAAGCAGTTACCGGCATAGTGTAAGAATTCTTTTTACAATATGCTGGGGGTCTGTGGTCGGAGTCGTACTACTGGAGAATACAGGTGTAACAGCAGTAAGGTGTTTCCCTCAGATGACCAGCATGCCAGCCAGCTATGTTGTCTCTCCACTTCGGAGAGAGAGGATTAGAAAAGGTCGACCCCAACACTTGTAAATCTCGACTTATTCCACAGTGGTCCGTAGCCGGCGGTAAGTTTACCGATACGGAACAAATCCAAGAAACCAATTCATCAGTTAGGCCATGCGTGACCTGCCAACATCAAGCAGTTGTCCCTTGGGCTCTGCAGTCACACAACACTAACTCTCTTTGTGTTTCAGGTACTCGAAAAATCAACCAACTTCCACGGTGTCGGCAGTCGGGGAGCAAAAACAACCCACACACTTCCAAGAGCACACGAAGTCTCCCCGAACATCGTTCTCCTTTACCCACAAACACAGCTCATGTGGTCCGAAGTTCAATCCCCGACCGCCGACACACACCTACACCTGGCCAGAAAACGGGTGAAGGTTGGGTGTAAGCTCATTTCGTAAAAATTACACCGCTCCTATCGAAGCTTCATAGCTCTAAGTTTGATGACCTATGATGTTCCACTTGGAACGTAAAGGAATAAGATAAATAAATGAATAATATACCAAAATGTGAACAATTATTATTTAACGAAATTGGAACAATAACTGATATTTTATGGTTCAGACTGAATTTAATCGGAAGAGACTAAAAAAAATAATAAAACCAAGTGTTTAAATCAATCAGCCAATAAGTGAATGACAATGACTATACAACAAACTATTCACTACTTACCATAGGGACATCATTCATTGTAGTAATAGCAGTTGTTGTAGTATTAGAAGAAATAACAGTAGATGATGCTATTTGTTTTGTACCACTGGCGATACCAGTAACACTGTCTGTAGGACTGTTTTGATTCCATTTTGATTGTGATAATGATGACATTGTTGACGATGGTGATGAAAGAATCCCAGGTGATGTTGTGTTATTATTATTATTAGGATTAATACTACTACTGGACAATGCAGTTGATATACGCGAAGATAAAGTAGTTATCGTAGGCGTTGGCGTCGAGGAAGAAGTGACTGAGGCAACCGAAGTTAGATTATTACTATTATTATCCCTACCGTCAATGACTACAGGACTTGTCGTTCGACGTTCTTCTACAAAAACAAAAAACAAAATGCGAAATAAAGCAAAATAATAATAAAAAAGGCTATCATCATAAATTGGTGGCTTTTCTCTGACATAAATTTCACATATTTAAGATCTATTCTCATATAAATAACCAATTAATTCAAAATATTGTGATAGAACGATCCAAAATCGCACAAAGTCGTGACCAAAACACCTTCTATACAGAAAATAAGGACATCCTTATCTAAAAGACGACAGTTGACTCAATTCATATAAATAATCAAAAACAGTTTGACCATTTTAGTTGTGTTTTTCTAAAATGGTATGCAAGGATGATATCAACATAACTCATTATCTCTAGAATATAACAATTATCCCGTATACACAAATACGCGCCATCAGTCCCTTGGGTTTCGAGTGTAACATACGGCTTCAACAACACATCTCCAATTCCTTATATTTTCCACTGTCCTCTTCAGCTGCCTAGTCACACAAGTGCCCATAATCTCTCACCTCCTCCTACTCCTTCTCACCACACGATCCCCGTCATACCAAACTCGCACCGACGACCCAATCGTCACTTCCCACTGGGATTCCACACGAACAATGACCTGCATTGAGCGCGATGTCATTCGATGGCCTCCTCTCAACGTATGTCCGATCCATCCATCTCCATTTTCTCAAACATATTTGTTGAGCAATCAGCTCTTGCTTGCTTTGTTCCACTACAGAGTTTATTGTTACTAATTCTTTCTAGTCAACCAGCCGGTTGACAGACCCACAGACCCCCAGCATATTGTAAAAAAATTCTTACACCTGGGCGGTAACTGCTTTTAGTCTAATCACTATCCTAACAACCTTCACGGCATGGTAGGACCTACAGGACCAAAATAGTTCAGACCAGTATAGCTTGTTGGGTCATTGTGAAAGTGGATCATTAAAAGTGGAAGACATGAAAAGCCCGGTTGATTAGCTGTCTTTGGTCATAGGTGTCAACGTTCCATCTCACATGTGAAGCGGTATGATGAGCAATATTGAGGTTATACTCCATTCTAATGCTAAATAAGGAGGGGAAATCAATCGATGAGGTTATGAAGCAGCTGCATCGATTGAGATCATTAGGATATGTGTTACATATGCCAAGACATCGATTTCCTTGACAACGGGCAATGTTAGCTGACTGACACAGTATTGATCAGGTTGGAAAAGAGCTATCAGCGGTGGTCAAACCGAAACATCGACTCATCAGTCAATGAAATCCACAACAGTTACTTTAAACCAGTCAGCCACGTAGGAAGGTGTAGACTGGCTGGCTGACTGGTTAGGGTCCTCGGAACGGTAAAAACAAACGACCACTGGAGGCAATCAGTGATATGGCTAGCTCAAAATCCTTATTCTTAATGGCTGGCGGAGATGCTTCCACTCCTTGTGATTTTTAATATCGAATAAAACTATATTCTTCTTCGATATTACTGTTCTTTTTACCTCATATCTCTGTTTACTGTCTCTACTTTGCGTTTCTTTTTACTACTGTCTTCTCTTGCTTTGTGTGCTAAATGAAGTGTGGCGACTCGAACTGCTGCACAACTGTGCAAAGTAGTTCTACGCTGAAACCAGTCAATAATCAGCTAGTGTAAAGCTGAAGAGGTAAATGAATTCGCCGCCGAAAAGAAACTCTTCACTGAAGGACGTGTTTTGTTTTGTTTTTCATTCAAACTAAAAGGTAACTTATCCACCTGTATGCTTTTAAATTAAACTAAAAGTCGATAAACAAATGAACAACTCACGATGTAATTCATTATTGGATAAAAATGTCAACGGTTGTTGACTCTTATTATCACCACCACCAGCAGCAGTTTTTGTTGTCTTCATACAGGATGAATCGGTTTCACTTAAATTGTCTGCAACAAATGCTTTAGGCCCAAGATATTGTCTAACCACTTGTCGTACACGACGAGCAAAATGTTCACGTAGATTTAATGAATTGTGATGATGATGATTAGGACTTGTACCGCCACCACCACCACCACCACCACCGCCGCCACCGCCAAAAACAGAAGCAGCAGCAGCACCAGCAACTGTCAATTGATTTGATGATGATGATTTTGAAGAAGTCATTGGAACGTCAGTGTCTGATTTATTGTTGTTATGTGCATTCATCTCTTGCCATATTTGACGAATCTCTTGTATTGCTTCAGGAGGCAGAAGATGCTGTAGCATTAGAATTCTACAATTTAAAAATACAACATACAATACAGAAAAAGAGCTAACTGTTGAACTCATTGAATGAGAAAAATACATCAATAACATAATTAGTTCAAAAAATAAAAAAAAGAAATTAAAATACTCATGAATAAGCCCTGTGTTCATTGCTTTGAAGCAGTGCCACAAAAATGAAAAGATGAATGTGAATGTTTCACGCTTAAATGCCGCCGACTGGTGTACACATGCTGGTCCACCCCCACCTACATGAACTTCAAAATCTGAATATATCACAAATAACGTGTCAACCTGTTTCGGTCACGTGCGACTATGGAGGACACAGCACCATCATTATCTTGTGGATCTCTGACATTTAGTCAAAACAAAAAAAAGCGGAAATTGGTCAGGTAGGTAGGACAATCGAACCACCTGCTTCAATCTAGGCGCTTGAGTAGCGTACTCCATCCTTCGCATAAACGATGGGATTTTGTGTAGCGAGAATAGATCAGATCACAGATAATGAGCCATTTTTTTATCCGGATCATTTAACATTGGAGATTCGATTAGACACACTTCAGGAAAACACAAACGCAAAAATTGGTGCGTCATATAGACAAAAGAAACACATACAATATTGGTCGCAGTAGTACAATTCATAAGATTAACACACTATTAGTAATGATGTAATCTGTAACACAATCTATTTAGAAACTACAATGCATAACCCCGCACACACACACACACACACGCTATTATTACTACTACATACCACAACTATGACAAGCCAAAAAACAAAGTACACAGCCACACTCTAACCATGCTCTACATATCTAGAATAAGGGTTATTATATGATATAATAGGCCGGATTCAACATCTTCGACCAGAATATAAACTATGATAGAGATTTACAGTTATAGAACAGCTGCTTTGTTTTGCTCAACTATCAGTCGGTGATGAACAATCTTAATTTACTTTAATCCTTTGCGTTCCGCCGAGTTGAACACACACGGGGAACCAAACGACAGGCTTTGAAGATTCATTAACAGTGCTATGGTGGTTTTTACGGGGGTGGGGTTGCTCAAAGTTCTTTCTTTACTTGACTAACTAACGGTGTCGATAGTGGAGGATTGAACGCTAGACTATGCGAGTGGTTGGCGAGCTGAATTACTGATGCACAAAGAAAAAGGCAACACCATAAGATTTTATTTTGATAAATCACACAGTGTTATAGAGTAATATCAACTGATGACCACGTTTCGAGCACAAATTATTGCCACTCATAATCATATCAAGTCACTCACTCCTCACAACTTTTTACTTCATTTATATACATGAGTGAAATTGATGATTAGACATTTGAATAAAAATCAGTATAGGATAATGTACATTCAGAAATATTAATATGAGTGTTATTGATCAATTAAAATCAGATGGGAAATAAGACGAGTGTTTTTATAGTAAAAATAAATGAGTAACTTGTTAGAATGTTATGATGTGCGTGAACTGAAATAGAATTTTAAGATTATTTATTATCCTCCTCTGATTTGACTGACTGGTCGTAATAATATCTTCCATATTTCTGGTATTTGCATTGAGTCATTTCTGTTGCATGCGTTGGGTGTAGACTCGATGAACCAGGATTCAGTAATCAACCTCTCTCGCGCTCCACCTACCTATATTACTTTTTAGAATTTTAACTTTCACCCACCCTATTGTGTGGTTGTGTATTAATGCATGTGGTACAGTTGCTAAGCTTTTTCTAAATTACTTATCTTCACGGGTGGGATCAATCATTCTAAACTTAGCTAAATTCTTATGTTACGACAATCTGACTACTCCCGATCTACTAATTTGACCTAAGCAGTTGAACTCACAAGTATTGCAAGGTATTTTACAAATTATATGATTTTGTCTAATTGGGTCAACTGGGTCCTTTTACCTACAGAGCTTGTCCTACCTGTTTCATTAAGAATCCTACGCAGGATCTCAGATGTCCCCTCCTTATATGGTATAATAGTAGACGCCTTATATTCTCTCTCATATATATATAATCATTATTAGTTTCCTGATTATTTTTATTTTGCTTTTCACCTTTTCCAATCTTCCGAATCAATTTTATAGGATAGTTACTTAACACCAACCAGTCATTCTTCTATCTGTTTTATTTCATCATTTCGGTCATTTTTACCACTTAGTGTTACTGCTCGGTTTGTTAGACATTTAACCGCGCCTACTTTTACAGATAACAAATGAGATGAATTACCAGAAGGCGTTGGGTTTTTTTTGTAAACGCCAGTGTGAAGTTTACCTTCTTCTATTCGTTTTATTTTGCAATCAAACATAGTTAAGTGTTCATTTTCCGATTAAAATGTGAATTTTATTCCTTTTGCTAGTGAGTTTATATGCATCAGTAAGATAGAGATATGTTCTGATTGTATTTGATTGATAACACTCATATTATTATTTCTGAATGTACATTATCCTATATTGATTTTTTTTCAAATGTCTAATCATCAATTCCACTCATGTATATAAATGAAGTAAAAAGTTGTTTGGGTGAGTGAATTGATATGATTATGAACAGCAATAATTTGTGCTCGAAACATGGTCATCAGTTGATATTACTGTATAACAAACACTGTGTGATTTATCAAAATAAAATCTTATCTATAATGGAGTTATACCTTACCACAGTATTCAAGTTTTATACTTATATCAATCAAGGCAACAGCCAGTGAGCCAAGGCAGTACTAACTGCGTCCAATCGGTGCTGCTTGATTTCGGTGGTCCAACAACGAACGGTACTTTTCAGCGTCGTAGGAAATTTGAAAGAGGTTATTTCCTTCACTTATCTCACCAGGTGACACAGTTTCGTCAACTACATGCGGAACGGATGGCGATGTCAAAGACAGAATTGGAAAGGCAGTGTACACCTTTATCACACTAAAATCAGCACAAATATCTTCTTTAAGTATTGGGTTTTATAGCGATTTTGTTTCATTGGTTGGAGGATTTCATCATAAACAGAAATCAGTTAGAGAACTATTGGAAAACCAGCCACGGGGAGTACTAGACAACTGTACTAAAGAACCAGATTTGGGTTTTCAACACAAATGTTAACTTAGTCACTTCTTCTGTATTGATCAGAAACTTGGAGCTCCCGTATTTCCAACAGGTCGCCACAGTCTTTTCGCTGGTTCCATAATGAAGGTCATATGGTCGGCCAGAAAGAACAAAAAACGAAGAAGCTATCTCTCAACAAATATTCCATTGAAAGTGGTGACAAATCGGACACATACACTAAGGAGACCGTCGAATGACATTGCGCGCCTGGTCATCGCCCAAGTAGAACGCGAATGGGAAACGACGAGGATGACACAGAGGAAATGAGAGGATTATAAGCGATCATGGGCCCGACTGAGGAAGACTGCGGAGAAGAGGACAGAGTGAAGATGTAGTGTTGAAGCCTTATGTCCCACTCGGAACCCAAGGGAGCAATAATAATAATATTATTATCGCCGACGAGCAGACATACATAATTCCTTTATGTAGCAAATAATTTATCCATGTCAAAGGATTATAAATAAAATCTAGAAAAAGGAAGCTTGTAAATAAATAAATAATTAGGTTGTATGAAAAAGAAAGAAAGAATATGGCAATTAGGTTACAGAAATAGCATAACCATTGTTACACACAAATACAGGCACGCACATATACACAGACACGAGCTTAAGAAGTGCAAAAGGATGGCGCTTAGACAATATGACACGTGTTATAGCGTGTGACACACGCACTTGCACACACACACACACAGGCAAACAAGAAATAACAAAACGATGAAGAGTAGCCTACGTCCTTTAAATAACAATGTTAATTATCATATTTACACCGAGGAACTAATAATTAATGACTTGAAAAGAATAGGACAGAAGTCTGTATTACTTCAGAATACACACAAACACACACATACACTGAAATCATCTGTTCACATTTGTACTGCACTAAATGAAGAACTCTGATGTAATATATATATATATACATATGGCTTAAATATTTTAAATGTCAGTCATTCGTGCACACCTCTCTCTCTCTATAAGGACGGGGCAAAAACAGTAAGCTTTTATCAGTTTATTTCAATAAAACATTTTTCCAATAGATTCGTACTTAATTGTTGGTTTGCAGGGATTTGATTGGTTAGAGGATGATTTCATCATGAGCTGATATTGATTCGAGGACCTGGGGGTACTGGACGGTTGTCTCGTCCTGGTTGGAGACTTATCATCAGGAGATCTGAACCCAGGACGTTTCAGTCACAAGGCGTGCGAGCGGGCTCGTAAACTATTAGGTCATCGGGACACGATCTAATGGCTAGTCCATGAATTCTACCTTAAGTCAATTCACGATATAGCGCGACCACTAGTAAATGTCTTCGGCGAGTATTCATCTTCACACCAAACCTGCTACACTCCACTGGTCACGACTTCCTACTAGAATCCCAGGTAACCACCTACCTGAATAGGGCCAGTCGCTAGTGAACATTTCATTGATATTCAAGTGTTGGTTTGCAGGGATTTGATTTGATCGGTTTCAGGATTTCATCATGAATTGATATCGCTTAGGTAAACATTGGAAACCCAGCAGTGGAGTACTGGACAGCTGTTTCGTCCCAGTGTTTGGGACTCTTCACCAGTTTGCAACCCTAATTGTAATTTCCTATTGATAGATCTGAACTGAATTTGATTAGTCGCACACATGAACGAATGTCTCTAAAATTAATTACCAGGACTAGCGTTTAACTCAAAGTTGCTTATCTAGTGATGACCACTCATACCTATTGTAGCAAAAAGATATGGTACACTCCCAGTGGATAAAACTGAAGTGTTTCAAAGCGATCAGATGCGTTGCAATGCTGAACCACTTCTCACTGTCACGCAGGTGTACATTCGACTGACGAATCCTATTTTACCTATTATTTATTTATTTATTTTATTTCTTTGTGTTCTGAGTAGAACATAGGGCTTCAA